TGAAATTTATTTTAATTAAAAATAATATATTTTTTTATATTTTTTTTAGTTTAAAAAATCACTGACAAAATATATTTTCGGATTTTTTTCATTATTTTACCACTTTATCGTTCAAAATATGAATGTTCATTGGGGTTTTTTCCCGATTTTTTTCACTATTTTACCACTTTATCGTTCAAAATATGAATGTTCATTGGGGTTTTTTCAGGATTTTTTTCACTATTTTACCACTTTAACTTGTTGTACAAGTCATAAGAATGTATCCAACATGTTTTATAAAAGTTCAAGAAGTTATTTAATATGTTTTAGATTGTTCAAGAACTTATTTGTTTCAAAAATTGTCCAAGGACTTATTTAACATTTTTTGGAATGTCTAATGACTTATTTGTTCCAAAAATTGTCCAAGAACTTATTTAACATATTTTGGAATGTCCAATGACTTATTTGTTCCAAAAAATTGTCCAAGGACTTATTTAACATATTTTGGAATGTTCAAGGACTTATTTGTTCCAAAAAAAAGTCCAAGTACTTAATCATTCCAAACAAAAAAGTCCATTGGTTTTTATTGTACTTTTCCATTGTTTTAAAAGTAAGTTACGAATTTGATCCTATGTTTCCATTTTCTACCCTGAAGCATTAGGGGACCTTAATAGGTGAAGAGCAAAAAGAGGGTGACTGTCGAGATACATACACATATATGTATATAATTCTTTTTTTATATATTTTAATAAGAAAAAGACAAAATAGAGGATAAAAAGACTAAAATACCCTTGAACTTAACTGGATTAAAGAAATCTTTTTGATTCCATTAAAGGGACGGATTCAATATATACGAAAATTCGTAACAAAGATACTAAATCTGTATTTATTTTGATTTTAGGATCATTGTGATAACAAAATATAAATCCCGAGAACCAAATTTGTAATTTACTCATAGTTTTAAAGAAAGGCCCACTAATAAATGGATCAAATACGCCGTTTAAACCGAGAATTTTATACATGAAATGGGCCTGTGCCTTCGATCCAATAACCTTTTTTTACTCCGTAGTCGGGGACTCTCGGGAGTCGGGACCATATAATATAATTTTAAAATAATCTTAAAATTCACAATTAATGGTTTTTTATATTAAGCCCCGTTTTGTTAGTAGAGTTGACTCTCACGCCTTATTAGCAACGTGTATGATGGTTAGGTTTAGACGGTTTTTGGTATTTTTATAATTTAATTTAATTATGATAGTTTAAAAAATCTCAATTAATTCAAAAGTATAAATCAATCCAACCCAACCTAACCCAACCCAACATTTGTAAGTTAGGACGGGTTAGGTTAGGTTAACGGGCTAGTAATATACAAAGAACTTTTATCAATTCTCTTACTATAATCAACATAATATTTTCCACCATAATTACAAACACGTATAGAGTTATTTTTTGAAAAATGATCCCAAATGTTGTGAGGTTCTACCTCCTTTTTCTTAGACGTGTGTTGGTTTATTATTGTTTTCGATTTTGGGGGACTTAGGAATATTTTTCCAGAAAATAAGATTAAAAAAAATACAAAAGTACAACCTACAAGAAAATATAAGATTTCTTTATGCAATATAAACAAACGTCTAGAAGCAGCTATGCAATAAAAAGAAAATTTTATGTTTCCAATTTCTAGTTTAAAACGTACTTCATATGTTCATACTTCAAGTTTAAAACATACCTCATATGCCCATTTATGCCATGGGAACAAAATTTTATATAAAGAAAGAGAGCAACTTCTAAACATTGGTGGTTCCAATTTCTAAAAGAATCTATGCAAAAGAAAATTATATACTAAAGTGTATATCAATCATTAACATCAACGCACGATCTAGTCGTTTAAGTACACTCGTGCTAAGGGAATAAGGAAGAAAATGGAACTGAGGAGTATCAACCAATTATTAAAACTTCATGTTTAAATTCGTGTAACTAACTGTGGATAAACATCAAATAGATGATAAATATCTCATTTTAAAATATAAAAAATCTAAAATATAATTAAGATAATTATCGAGTTCTAACAAAATAATTAACTATTATTTTTATGAAAAAATTATATTATTAACCCAAATATAAATTACTTCGTTATTGAACTTAAATTAAATTATAATTAAAAATTTTGAGTTAAAAGATTACACAAAAAATAATGAATTTTAAATAGTTAATTTGATATTAATATCGATATAATTTTGTCAAATTTTTATGATATTTTCAAATTTATATTTTATTCAAAACTAAAAACATCATCGATTTTTCAAAATCACATAAAAACATATTATAACATTGATTGAGATTAAAAAAAATGAAATGTTAAAATCAGGATCTATCTCGTTGCATTGTGCGAGTACTCTTCTAGTAATATTTATATACGACAAATGCAAGAAATAAATTCATACACCCTCCTCACATTTGGTGAGGTTTGAATCTCTAACCTTTTAGAAGGTCAAAATCTACGATACCGCTAGAACAAAAGCCTTTTAGTGATAATACATAAATGTTGACGGGTTAGTCTATTCGTGTTTAACTATAATCCATTTTACCTCTTGTTCAACGCGTCTAATCTGTCACTTTCTACTACCTGTATTATATATGAAAAGTACTTATTATACTTATTACCAAATAAAAAACATATTTATCACGTGTGATTATGCTATATTCTTTTTATAGACTATATTAGTTTAAGAATCGCCAATGCAATCTAAAAGGTTTAGGTATCATACCATTAGTTGATGAATGGTTGCGGTTGTTTTTACAATTCATCCTTTACTGAATTTCATATTTCGTCCTTGCACTAACACTGTAATAAGAAATGACTTGTGAGTTAACTGAATTTAACAATTTTTACTTGATATAGTTAAGGCAATTTTTTTCATTTTTAAGAACCCAATTTCTTAAAAACAATAAAACCCGTCAAATTTGCAATCCACTCTTCATTGTTTATTAAACGTAAGCGTCTAAAACCACAAGGGTGGTGTTTGATTGGTTTGAACTTGGCTCCAAAGGTCAAAAGTGCCAAGAGGTCCCAGGTTCAAATCTAAGAAGGAACAAAAATCCTCTTGTGGCCACATGTGTTCAAATGCGGTGACTTTGGGCTACGTGCAAAACAGGTGGTCGCTTGGGATTAGTTAGCTTACATAACGGGTTGGATATTCATATTAATAAAAAAAACGTCTATTATAAGTATTTTTATGTTAATGTGACCACTCACATAGTCTCGTTTTCAAAGCCCTTTTGCTTTTCTCGAAGATGAGTGTGTGTATGTGGCATCTTGTCCGTAATATCATTCTATAAATAATTTACCTTCCAACAAACCACGTGACACCAACATTGCATGCGGGAAACTAGCGTTTCCTTTAATGATCAATCAATTACTTAATTTCTTCCCTGAACGATCTTTTATGTCAGGATCCGATTATTGAACTTGTAGTTTTTTCAGTTCTTAATACCAATATGGACTTTAATATACAATATTTTAGAAAGTAAATCGTTAGGACACAAGCAAGCATCAAAACTCAGTRAACAAAGTCGTTTTTATAGACACTTAGGACACAAGCAAGCATCAAAACTCAGTRAACAAAGTCGTTTTTATAGACACTTAGGACACAAGCAAGCATCAAAACTTAGTGAATGAAGTCGTTTTTATAGACAATTGGTTAACTTACTTGACACATTTTGGATAGTCAAATCTATACGAAATGTAGTGAGGTGACATGATCTTTCCCTCATATCACATGACACCAACATTATACGCAGGAAACTAACATTTCCTATAATGATCAATCAAGTATCTGATTTCTTCCCTAAACAATTTCCTCTGTCGGGATCCGATTATTACACTTGTAGTTTTTCCAGTTTTTATTACCAATATCGACTCTGATATACAATTTGAAACAATAAACCGTTAGAACATAAGAAAGCATGATGGCAATTAGTCGTTAACCTGAGGAAACGAATAACCGAGCATTTAAACCATGACATGCATGGCATATTAGTACATTTTATGATAACTGATAGTATCATACAATATTATGACTCTCAAAATGAATTACTATTGTAGAAAAATACATATGCTCTCGAAAAAATAAATCATAACGAAATACGAGTTATTATTTTAGAGAAGACATATGCCCACAAAATAATTTTAATCTGAAACATTGGGACAACATAGAAAACATGTAGTAGAATGTTGACGGCATCTTCAACATAGAAAATAATATTTTTTTTTTCAAAATTTCATAATATCTTCAAATTTATATTTTATTCAAAAATAAAAACATTTTTTTCTCAAGACCACATAAAATCGTATTATAATATCGATAAACCAAAAAAAAAACATTAAAATTAAGATATATGACATTGCGTTACATGAATACCCTTCTAGTAATAATAAAACGTTTAACAAAATAAAATTTAATTAGCAAAAACTAAAAAAAAAAAACATAATTTTTCTACTATAATTCATTTAATAATTAGTATTATAAAAATTAATTATACTATGACTACCATGTTTAATAAAAAAGTATAATAATAAATAAATATAATATTTTATTTATTATTATAATATCAACGTTTTTTTTAATACATTTTAGTGTGTGATTGAAATTGATATTTTTAATGTTCAATAGACTAACCAATTCTATTTTTTTTTAATGGTTGAGTTGAAGATGGTTCAGAAAAATGACAATAAGCTACATAAAACAATTTTTTCTACGAAAAAATCAATGTAAGGAATATTGAAATTTACGTTATAAGGAAATACATATACATGAAATTAATATGTAGAGTGAATTACATATTTGGTCATGTGGTTTAATGAAAATTATGACCAGTCTTCTGAAATTTGAAAAATTATGAATTTGATTTTCGTGGTTGTCATTTTGTTATGATTAAGGTCTCTCTCGGTAATTTTGTTAACGGTGACCCGGTTAACTCAGGAGCATTTGAGTCTTTTTGCAATTTTCTCATATGTTTTACCTTTCAAGTTCAGCTATATCCCTCTTTTCTTTGCATACGGCCACACCACCAGCTCTTGCCATCAAATGAAAATCGTCAAAAATGAGTGTTTGATTCATGTTTATCGTTTTGATTTTTGTGTTTTTAATTTTTTATTTAAGTTTTCAATTTGAATTTAGGTTCTCTCTCATATTCATCTTATGCTAATTTTCAAGAAAATCAATAAATGTGTTCCTTAAACACCAACAATAAACTTGTGCATATTAAACAACAAAGGAAACCATACCAAATTTAAAAAATTAAAATCCAGAAAACCCTCGTAATTTTGAAAATAAGGCAAAAACAATTAAATCAAAACCATAAATGTGGTTCTTTTCAAAGTTTATATATGTAGGGCTACATCTTGGTTGAATATAACACTATCTTCCCTAAAACAAAACAAAAAAGTTACCTTATAGAACTATTGATATTATATATTTAATAGGGCAAACTGCATGAAAAAAATAATGTACTTAAATTTGGTTCATATTTTGGGTAACGAATTTTCAAAACTTTTATTTTCGCACATAAGATGTAAAGTTTTAAACATGTTACTAACTTTAGATTAAAAAAAATCCATGTTACTAACCACGTCAGCAAATGATACTGAGTTGGATACCATATCACTAGCCACAATCGGTTAATGTTTCAACCAGTTACATGGGTATTTAAATGTTTAAAATTTTACATTTTAGGTACCAAAATCGAATTTCTGAAAGTACGTTACTCAAAATAGTAATCAAGTTAAAGTACGTAATTTTTTTCACGTAATTTGCTCTATTTAATACACACACACATATATTTACATATGAATATAAAATAAAAATATTAAATACAAAAAAGACTCAAATAAAGTATTATATGCATAATATATTATAAAACATTTGACAACTCTTAAAAATCATTTTTTCTGTATGAAGTATTGTATATTGATGCATATTACTCAAAATTCAATATTACAAGTAATTTTGCATTGGGACAACTTATTAAAACTACATTTTTTAATTCGTGTAACTAACTGCAGTTAAATATAACTTAATACATGATAAACATTTATTTTAAATATATAAAATTTAAAATATAATTAAGATAATTATTGACTTTTAACATAATGTTTAATTATTATATTTATAAAAAATTATATTATTAAACAAAAAATAAATTACTTTGTTATTAGACTTACATTAAATTACAATAAAAAAATTGAATTATAGAAGTTACACTACACAAAAAAGGAGAGCTATTAAATAGTTAATTTGATACTGATACGATTTTTTTTTTAAATTTATGCTATCTTCAAATTTATATTTCATTAAAAAATAAAAGCATAATTATTTTCTCAAAACCACATAAAATCGTATTATATCGATACAGAAAAATAATAAAAATTAAATATTAAAATAAAGATTTACCTCGCTAAATTACACGAACACTCTTTTAGTTATATTAAAAGCATATGAGAAAAATGAAAAAGTCAAATAAAATAATTAAATATGATTTAATTTACTCTTCAAGTTTTTGATAAAAAAGACGAGAAAAAAAAATACAAAAAAACTCAAATGTCCCTAAATTAACAGAGTCATCATTAATAAAGTTAATTAGAGGGACCATAGTCACAACAAAATGACGACAATAAGGACCAAATTAATTCATAATTTTGTGAAACCACGTGTACCAAATCCGTAGTTCACTATAATATCCATTATTCAGTTTTGATGTACTTTGGCCAAATTTAAACTAATTAAATAATATCCTGATGCAAATAAACAAAACATGTTTTATTTTTTCGGAAAAAAATCATTACATTTATTTTAAAAATTTTGTATTTAACATTTTTGTTTGCGTTTTATCTTTAAATCAAATTAAAGCTTATGAAGTTATGTTTTCCAAATCCAAAACCAAAACCAAAACAAAACAGGTTTTACTTTGAAATAATTTATTGTTTATGTTTTTATTGTTTATAAAAAATAAATCAGAAAAGCAAAATTGAAGAACAAAAAGTGTCCACTTATTCAATAAAACCAACATGGAATCCACTGAAAGAGATGCTATTAACAGAATTTGCCATCAAACTTTTATATTAATTAGGTCATGGAATTGATTAAAGGAATTTAAAACCAACTTTATTTATAATTTAATTATTTTTATTAATTATTTATCTAACTCTCGTTTTTTTTTATTGCATAAAACAATGAAAAGTCGTACAATTAATAATAAGAAATTTATTGGAAAAACATGTTTTGGTTTATTCTTTATTATTTTAATTTTGGAATCCACAAAAATCGCTTTTTGACATCTTATAAAATAACGGCATCGTTTATGATCATATTATTTACGAAAAAACTTGTAGATAAGTAAAAAGCTCTTTTAAATATTATTTTAAATAATCATATATATATATATATATACACACACACACATACGGTTGATAGGATATATTTAACTGATTTAAGATAATAATAATAATAATAAAAATCAGTAAATTCAAACGTTGATCGAAGTGAATAGTCATGTTGCTGGGTCTATGGGATAAAAAAGGGAATTTCACCAAACACTTTTAAATATTTGACACGTAAGAGATTAATATGTTCTGTTTATGCAGTTATTTTTAACTTGCTGATTTTAAGCTCGTTTGCATCCGGTGTGTGTTTTCCTTTTCATCTTTATCTCATTATTGGTTGGGGTAAAGTTCCTCTCTAGTTTTCTATTGAAGGAAAAAGTTGTCTGGTTTCATGAGAACCCGTTAAAATATGTGATTTTTCTATTTCCAATTACTTTACAAACATACCGCTAAAATAACAAACTTACGTCATCATTATAAAGTTGCTACTATTTGGTCCATGTGAATTATGTTCTTTTAGAACTATAACACAGTTCAAGCATTTAATTTACTCGTCATTATAAAACGCATACTCTTTACAGCGATCAATATTCTTATCACATATGATTTTTTTTTATATTTTATATCACTCTCGTATAAAAATAACCCCAAATAATATTTTCTACATTTAAGAAATAAAAAAGAAAAAGGCGAGTCTTTGTATGATGATGACACATAGTTACTTTCGCAATCACATGTTTGCTTTCTTACATTGTGATATTAACGTATTGATAAAAATTACATGTCCAAGATTTTTGTTTCTTTAGATTTTTGTATTTTCAATACATGATTTGATCTGAAATTAAATGGGTGCATTTAATATCCGAAAAAAATATATTAAATAAAATAATTAGGTGCCTTCATATGATTGATTGCACATCGGGAGAAAATTTAGAACAAATGTTTTTCATCAGTTATTTACATTTATGGTCCCTTTATTTTAAGCAAGTTGTCATTTCACTTTCGTATTTCACTTTTTATTTATTATTTATACCAACCCTTCCCTCTTTCCCATCTACTTCCCCTCTCTCCAAATCTCAATCCCAATGACACAATGGCTACTCCAGACTCTCAGACATTTCACTGGCGCTACGACGAGCTCGACGATAAGAACTTCCAAATCCGTGGACGCACTCTCTTTTTCATCATCGTTCTCTTCGCCGTCATCCTCTTGGTGACGCTTCTCTTCCTCTACGCACGCTGGATCTGCCGATCTTCCTCCGCTTCTTCCGCCGCCGTATCACAGCACATCCAGCGGTTTTCCCGGCCGCAAGGCCTGGATTCCGCCGCGATCGACAGCCTCCCGATCACTCTGCACCAACGGCCATCGACGTCATCAACTGATTCGTTGGAGTGTTGTATCTGCCTCGGAGTATTTGAAGAAGGGGAGAAAGTGAAGGTGTTGCCAAAGTGTAGCCATGCTTATCACTGCGAGTGTGTAGACAAATGGCTCACCACTCATTCTAGCTGTCCGATTTGCAGAGCTGCACTCCTGGTCGACTCACCCGTCTGACTCGGCTAATTAATTCTTTTTCTTTTTCTATTTTAATCCTTTTTGCTTAGGTATATATGCAAAGCAAAATCCACTCCTGATCCGTAATTATAAATTAAAGTAATAAGTAATATTAGCTTTTTGAATTTAATTCTTTTATGTCAAATTAAATTGTTAATAACTTTCTAAACCCGTTTAATTATTTTGGAAAGCTAAAAAGATGGTATAATTAATTAAACCCAACATATTTTAATGATATTTTTTGTAGATAAAAAAATAAAAAAATAAAAATAAAAATAAGATATATTTGTTTTTTATGTATGGTATTTATGGGACATAAAGACAGAAAACGTTACAAATATGATGCATAATTGATGGATGAAGATGACCATACAATGATGGTGTATAAAGTATATGTACCATTTAAACTGGGACTACAACCCACACCCATTGTGGACGTGTCTCCATCTTAAATTTTGGCTGTTTCTTTACGTGAAAAATATTCCTTCGACCATGAAGAAAAAGAAGTTTTAAGAATAAAACATATACAGAAAGCGACGGTATCGTCGTCTAATCGTATTGGTCGGTTTTTTAAAATATAGTAACGGTGATAAGTCGTTTTTTGCTTTGTATAACGATAAATTTGAGGATTAGATACGAAAGAAAATGATACCTTGAGATTGTGTTATTTGGGTCTTTTTGAAGACGCGGTGAAAGATGTTGTTATCACAAAACGCTTACACGTGTAAAAAAGGGTGGGAGCGAGAAACACGTTAAATAATTTCCATCATGCCAATAGAAGAATGCAAGGCATAGTCTCGTCAACGAAATGATGGCATGATTAAGACGAGGTTTTTTGTCTGTCTCTTGAAAATAATTACGTAGATAAATAGATTTTTATCGTATACGATGCATGAGATACCATTAATTTTAAAATTAAAAGATAGTTAACGGTTGTTAGATCGTAATCGTTTACATGAGTTTTTCTAGAAATCACAAGCTCCGCAAAGAAAATGATAACGTATGAACATTTGATTGGTTTCTTGAATACAGTTACATAAGGGTCATTGATCTAGCAGCACCTACATTACGAATTACTGGTAGATTTCACCTTCTCTTAACAAGTCAAGGGTTCAAAACTCACAAAATACAATAAGGGTATACGAGTATTCAGCATATATATATGTGACATATTTAAAAAGAAAATACATAAAGTTTTCTCATACCAAAGATGGATGAAAGATATTTTATTGAATTATATTCGTAAAATTTAAAGAATAATTTAATAAACTCTCTGTGACGCTCATAAATCATAGGGATTTTATCCGGAAAGAAAGGTATGAAAAAGACCATTTGAATCAATTTTATGAAATTCTAAAAAAAATCTAAGAATGCCGAAAACAAACCTCCCGAGAAAATGATACCATAAGAACGTTTTGTTTGTTTCTTTAAAATAATTTCGTAGATATTTTTTCATGAATATATACAGAGTTGCAAGAAAAAACCCTGTTAAATTATTTTCCATAACATTGCTTAAAAAATCTATTTTCACAAATTAAAAGATACTTAAAAAACAACCAGATATTTATTCAATCATATGTTCTAATATTTTGCCAAACCAACATGTATTATCGCCCAATCATTTTTGTTTAAATGGTTTGAGTTTGCATGTCGTAGGAAAAATATTTCTTAGGGGCTGTTTGACAGTTGCTAAATGGTTTGGTGCAGAATGATTAAAAGACTCATATAATATAGTGTAAAATGAAATATAATTGTTTGGTAATTATTCATAATAAAAAAATGGTGCTGAATGGTTAATGGAGATCCACGATACAAAATCATTCAAAGGGTTTTAAAACCATTAAGAGTCAAACTTTTTTTTTGTCAAACAAGATTCACCTCTTAGCGATTCAAATACTATGTCATAATAAAACTATTAAGAAGTAAATAAACAACCCTTAATTTAAATAATAACTTTTATTATTTATTTTATGAGAAAAAAAAAAAAAAACAGTTGTAAATAATCAAAGGCATTGATTTTTAGTGGTGTCCGCTACCTAAATAGCACGAGAGTATTTACTGAGGTGTATTAAAAAATATCTTATATTTATTGAGGTGTATATAGAAAAAATCACGAGTAAATAACATCAATACTTAAAAGTACAAGTTTTTTTTTTAAATTGTCTCTTAAGATCTCTGAAGTCTGATTTGTTCAGATGTTTTGGTATTAAGAACATTTTTTTTAAATAAGAGCTTAAAATCTTTAAATGTCCTTTGAAATTATAAGTGGTAAACATATCTCTTAATCCTAATCCATCATTTATCAAATGGTTCATATTTTGAGGGTTGGAAGAAATTTGTTAGCAAAAACTATTTTTATCTTTTATACTTTTGTAAAAAACTATTTATATTTTTGCACTAATTTGATCGATTCAGATTTCAAACGTAAAAACAAACAGTGTTATTGATCTAAATTTCAGACTTCAGCATCATCTCTTATAAATTAGAAGTGAAATCAGAATTCATATTTCAGCATCTCTTAAAATATAAAAGCCACCTAACTATGAAAGTTATGGGTATTTATATTATAATACCAATCAACTCATAAGGCGTAGTGTTGTTAGTTGAGGGACGGTAATCATAATGTGAGAGTTACAATTCACCTGGAGATTGAGTTTATTGTGGGTACCATTGTACCAAGTTCTTAAGCTAATTACCTAACAAACTACGATATATATGATTTTCGGCAGTGTGGGCCAACATGGGAGCTACCGGTTACATATCCTTCTTCATAAACAGTATTATGAATCCAAATCAAAAAATTATAATTATGTTTTTTTGAGTCAATTATAATCATCATCAAATATGAAACATTTGTTTATGTACTTACTGTACCCGATAAATCCAATATCTGCCAGCATACAAATTAAAAAATACGCTTAACTTTTATTTCGATCCGATATTTAATCCGACATCAATTGGGTTTTGAAAAGAATGGAATAAAAGAAGATGTGATGGAAGGAGATCATGGAAAAGACGATACGAAACGTCCATTCTTGGCAAAAAAACATTGTGTAGTCAGTCACCTTCAAATCAATAACAAACGACCCGTATAAAGCCCATATCAAGAAAATATTGGGCCGAAAACCCGGCCCATAAACCATGTAAATACGGGTACAATATGCCCAAGAGAAATCAAACAAATCAAGTTGGGCTTGGGCCTTGGTGCGAATATGTGACCCGAGCCCGACACACTACAAGACCTGGGTCCGTCCAACAAGATTTAGGGTTCGATAAATAGCCCCCATGCTCTTGTCTCGTAATCTCTTCACAATTTTACGCCGTCGGCTAGGGTTTTTAGCGTAACCAGAAGAAGCACAACAAACAGACGTTTTCCGGTCGCCATGAGAGCCAAGGTATTTCCCTGGAATCTTGATTGTTATCGGTCTTTTACTTTTCGGTTGATTCAGTTTCTTATAATGAAATTTGTGGATTTGTAATTTCTCAGTGGAAGAAGAAGAGAATGAGGAGATTGAAAAGGAAGCGCCGAAAGATGAGGCAGAGATCTAAGTAATCTGTTCGTTGGAAATAATCTGCCAGCCTTTTTTGAAGGAATCATCAGTATCGTGTCGGTCTCCGTTTCGTATTTTCTGTTTGAACTTATCGTAATCAGTACTGTTTAGTTGAATTATTGTTTTTGGATTATGAGATTTTAATGATATGGGTTTAGATTAACTTTTGCCAATTCGCTCATACTATTGATTCTTTCTCCTTTGTGATTTTTTACGATTGCGAACGCTTCTGTGTTCTGTGATTTGTGCGTCTGTCGTTGGAAGAGTAACTCCGAATCTTTGATTTTGGATTTGGAAACTGAAAAAAAACAGCTTATATGTCGAGGTTGGTGATATTCAAATCTATTTTGAAACCCAAAATTGGAAGATCGAGACTGTTGCAAGATTGTTCTTGTGCACTGTTTTCCTGTTGCCTTATGCACTTTAGTTTGAAAAAGGTGATGTTTGAGTAGTCAACTGGAGCTTTGCTGAGTTTGAACTGCCCGAAGTGCTGCTGAAATCGATGGTAGGTTTTCTCTGTTTGATTTGCCTACACACGCCCAATCACCTTGAGGTTCATTTGTGACTTTCCTTTCAATGATTTAACGGTTTAAAAGTTGTAGGTGCATGTTAGCTTGTGTAGTTATATTTTGCTTATCTTGTTATCTGGATGATATTTAGCTATTTAGGGATGAGTTGGTGGTGGTGGGATCATGTGTTGGAAGCTTGTAGGGAAGGGAATGGTGGTTGAAACTGGTTCTATATGACGATGAGAGAGCCAAGGTGGTAGTAATAAGAACCTGTTTCTACACTTGTCATGGTTTTGTGTGATTATCTTGCAGGTTACTGTTTTTTGGTTAGGCTCTACCCATGGTCTTAAAAATCGTTTGAGGCTTATGCCTCTAGGCGAGGCGGCTGAATCGCACCTGAGCCGTCGCCTCTTGGACCTTGGACGAGGCTTACGCCGTGGTTCCATGGGTGTCCATGCGTACGCCTCAAATGATCTGCTTTAGAAATGGTTTTCTGGGGTTCTTTCTATGAACTTTCTGGCGGTAGTTGTATTTTTCTTTGTAGTATAATCGTCTTTTTTATAACTAAAAGTCAAAAGCCCGATGGCCCCAAGGTTTATTTTTAATATTTTAAAATCCAAAAAGCTAGTATTTTCTCCTTGTGGTTTGACCCTTCCTTCAAGCAGTCAATTTTTCCACACCCTGTCGGTCTATCTCATGGTTTCACTCCTCTGTCAAGAACTTTTGAACCAATGTCCGTAGTAATTTAGTGTTATATGTATTGCAAGTAAATGCGTGTAGTATATATATTTCTGCCTCGGTGCTTAAGCCTTGTTTAGAGAAATCGAGTCGAGGCTTGATATCACCTTATAAAACCTTGGCTCTTCCCTTTTTATTTGATATCTTAAACGTGGAATGAGGTCATAGATAGTCTTTCTTTGAAATGCAATACTTTATATCTTCATCCTGTAAAGTTTACATGGGCAATTGCTTTAGCATACACTTTTGAAAGCTCAATGGCTCCTTCCCTTCTGCTGCCAAACGGTACTAGTGGATCAAGTTCGACCCGTAATACCGAACCTATATGTATAACCTTTCGGTCGATACTAGAATAAAACTGAGACATTGTATGAGAGGCTGCATTAATAGAGGATACACTACAGTAGGAATCGTTCTATTTCCTAACTTTACCTTTAACAAGTATAGATTTTTTATTTTCTTTCTAACAATCATGTGTCTTTGTGGTAAAACTGAGAGTTCAATAAAAAATCTCTCCAACGGGTAAATGTCTCTTTTTCTCCGGAAGTTGTGATGACTGGAATGGTTTCTAGTGTATAACCCTACCCTCTTTGATCCATTCAACACGTATAATTTCTTTTCCATCAATACATTGTAGAATTAGCACATAGAAAGTAGTTAACCAGTTGAGACAACATTCTAAATAATGACAAAAAGAACAAGACATACTATAGGGTTCGATCACGAGCTTTGGACAAAGAGTACTTAAACATATGACTTTTATTAACCTTATGGAGCGAAAATGAAGTGCAATGGATACCGGTTACTTTTATTTTTGTCTAACTCACCTCCTTTTTTGTTTATCGGTTCCGGGAGGGTCCCATCGATCATCACCTTCATGTGATGATCTAACGTATAACATCCAATACATAGATCATCATGTTCATGTGTTTGGAGCATTCCATGATGGATAACTTAGAGCATAATTAGTGTCGAAATCATAAGTTGTTGGAGTTCGATATTTGATGTTTTTTCTGTTAGATTTTGATTTTATTTTCTGGGAGATGGTATTGTTGGTTGGGTGATAGGGAAATGGAAATCAATCGGCAATCGCACCATGCTCTTAGTAGTAACATAACGTGTCGTCGGTTTAAATCTTCCAATACCGTAGTAACTTCACAGCTATAAGTTTCTTTTATGGTTCCCACATCGATTTGGTTAGAAAAATAAGAAAAAAGGATAGTGGATAGAGGCGGGTGATCCCACATCGATAGAATAGAAAGAAGAGGAGTGGAAAAAATGGTTATAAAAGAGAAGTTGGGTGCGACCATTGAAAGCATCTTTGCGCTTGGGGCAATGACGTAGCTAATGAGGTAATAACCGAGGCGCGTCAATTGCTGGTTGAAAACTATTTCCAAACCCCCTCCTTGGCCTTGGGTACTCCCCTTGGCCATCGAGAATTTCTGGAAGGGCTCCCTCTCTGAGGGTAAAGCCTTACAACATTTAGTTTAATAATTTATTTAGCTTAATTTTTAATGATTAAAGTAATGAAAGTGTATTCTTTTTAATAAGGTTGATATTTCTTCAGCTCTTTTCAATTGATGCAAGTGAAAAATATTTTAAAATCTTACTTATTTTCGAAGTTCTCTTGCGAAGTTGGGCCGCTCACTGGAAAATCTGCCCAATTCGAGGCCCTTTGTTGTCCCGTATTTCGTTGATGTATATACGAACCTCTTCTGCTATCATGCGCTTCATTATCGTCACCAGACACGTGTCCTCTATCTCAGCCGTCGATTTGTCATCCACGTCGTCATCTACCTCTTCGTTCTTTTCTGTTACGTGTTCCACCGCTTTCATCTCTCCGGGTGGCAAAAGCGTTAGCACCGTGGCGGGTCCGTCGCAACTGCTTTGGTCCGTAGAAGTACGGGAACATTGTCTCTTCAACGGCGGGTCCGACTGGGTTGAATCGCTCAAAGGGTCCGCCAATGGTCGTTTTATAACACCGGAATTCGAGTTTGACCCAAGCGAAACCTCTCCCGGCGGCAATCCCCGTCGACGGAGAGTGGAGTTCCAGTGGTTCTTAATTGCATTATCGGTACGGCCTGGGAGGAGCCTGGAGATGGTTGACCACTTATTACCATGGATCGCATGTGCTCGGAGAATTACGTCATCTTCTTCACGAGTAAATGGACGGTGTTCGACGTCCGGGCTGAGCTGGTTGCACCACCGTAGACGGCACGACTTTCCGGAACGGCCGGGGATTCTGGAGCTGATGAGGGACCAATTACGAGGTCCATGTTGTTCCACCAGTTTCACGAGGGTGGCATCCTCTTGCGGACTCCAGGAACCCTTGATCTTGCCGCCGGCGACACCACCGCCACCACCCTCTATTGCCTCCATATGAAATTAAAGTCCGATGAAGATCTGAGTTAGAATTTGATGGAAGGTATTGAAACGGTTGAGGGGTTTATGAAGAAAGGAAGGAGGGTAGGTTTAACCGTTTTGGGAAGGGGGAGTAGTTGGCATGAACCTTAAACTCCTCGGCCATCTCTTCTATTTATTTATTTGCAGACGGTTAAAACTAACATTAAAACCCACTTGCAGTTTTGTACTTGCGGACCAATTTTTTCTTAGCATATGTTACAAAAAGAAGTCCCACATTATTAAGTAAAAGGTAGTTTACCTTATAGGATTCATTAAAACTATATTAAAAATAAAATATAAAGCTTTGATGTATAATATATATATATATATATATATATAAGGTATATATTTTAAATATAACCATATCTATTTGTACAATCAATGAAACCCAATCAATTTAGATATTTATGAAAATGATGAGAGTTCATTCATTATGATTTAAATATTTATGAAAGATGACTAGAATTTATTAATTATGATTAATATTTTATATTAGAAAACAATCAAAATTATTATGAAATCATATATGTGATTGAATTGTATTGGTTGTACAAATGTAAAAGGTTGCATAATAACTCACTTCTCTCTCTCTCTCTCTCTCTCTCTCTCTGTATATATATATATATGTGTGTGTGTGTGTGTGTATGTGTGTGTGTCTGTATATATGTAGGAAAAGGTTCAAACGAGAACACCTTCATCTTACTAGAACGCGATAACATCTTTTTAATATAGACAATCACATGTGTTACTATTATTTCATCACATATGATACACATGTGATATTAAATCATAGACACCGACGATTTTCGATGCGATCTTGGTTGATGGCCAAGTCGCCCTTACACCACTAAGCTCCCTCAAAAGTATTATCACATGTGATAAGGGGGGTGTTGATATGATACTATAATACATCAAGACGATCACATGTGATGCTAAATCATAGGTGCAGACAACCTTTGGCACGACCTAAGTCGTAGAACACGTCGTCCGCACATCACATGGTCCCTTACGCGTATTATCACATGTGATAAGGATGTTCTCGCATTCTCATAAAATAGAGGTGTTTTCGTTTGAACATCCACATACACCCACATACATACATACATACATACATACATACATACATACATACATACATATATATATATATATATATATATATATATATAGACCAAAGGTTTTTCGTGAGAGGTAAGACCAATTTATGTTAATTGATCAACTTTATAAACTAATGATCTAATGGTCTAAAGTTGCACGGTGACAATTTTATGATTATTGAGAAGTCTCGTAGCGTTTATGAATGTTCAGATTGTCAGACTGTAGATCTAATTCAAAGGTTGAGAATTGGTCTTACGGGTCTCACAAAAAACCTTTGATCTCATATGATCCCAAGTCTATATATATACTAGTTGTGTACCCGCGCAATGCGGCAGGAACCATGAATTTTAACGTTTTTGAAGTTCCACTGGTTTTATAAGATAAGATTTAACGATAATATATGTTACACTTGGTCTTTACATATTAATACAATTTGAATAAATAAGAGTTATGGTTCCAATTACAGACTATCGATGAAAAAATTGTATGACAGTTTAAAATACATATTTAAACAACTCAAAACGAAAGAAAACTAAAAATTTGACAGATCATAAGCCATGAAAAGACAAAAAAGATGGTTTTAGAATGAAATTTCAACTGCTTACCCTCTTTCTTGTCCATAAACTCAGATTAAGGTTGAATTAATACATGTATATATAAATTTAAAAAAAAACCCAAGAACATATTAATTCAAAACATATTATACAGTGCAATTTGGACAGCCTAACCCCAAAATATAATATATATATATATATATATATATATATATATATATAATTAAATAACTATATTTTGTATAAATCGTAAATATTAAAATATTTTTTCACATTATATATAATATATAATAATATAACTAAGTCAAAAACTATTTAATATTTGACTCATTTCGAAGGTATTAACGAGATGATTATAATGGTGTAACTTTTTAAAATAAAAATGTATTTTTTAAACATGTTTTAATTGATATACGATTATGTATGTTAATTTGATAAAAGTTTAAAATAAAACATTTAAAAGTAAATGACATAAAGTAAATTATTAATTAATTATAAGGGTATAAAATATAAACTTAATATTATAATTTTAAAAAAATCGGTTGTGAGAGAATGAGTGTATGTGAAGGGATGAAAAAGTGAGTATAAAAAATATTTTGGTCATTTAGTATTTTAAGACTTTAAGACATTTATTTAATAAGATTATATATATATATATATATATATGATAAATATTTTGGATGAATATTAATTGACATATCATATTATTAATTAATTATTTTAAAACTATAAAATGTTAAAGTTTAGCTATATTTTCCAACTAATTTATCAAATGTATTTAGTTCATCAGTTAACTTATCAATCATCAACTATTTTATTAATCATCAGTTAACTCATTAGTTAACAATTAATTGACCCAAAATAACCTTAACCCTAAATCACACTGTATTATACAGTACATCAATTTAGAGTTTATACAATTTGGTTCGTATTCTTGCCTCTAAACCATACCATATCGCACCATACCATAAACACTCCTAGGTCGCAAGAATAAAATGACGGCTTTACTTTTACTCATACTTTGTACATAATACCTAAGAAACAAGTAACGTAATTTGTTTTTATTAAAAAATATTTTAAACAAAACAACCACAATAAAAACAAGATTGTTGTCTTTTCAAAATGTTTGTAGGCGCAAGCAGTTACGATGTCAAAAATAAACGGCAACAAATGACAAATCGTTGTTACCGACTACTCCAAGTTGAATTACGGCTCGTTGACTTTGACTCCTTTATCCATTTCATTCCCACTAATTAAAGCTTCTTTTTTAATATATTTATATATAAATAAGCGGATAATACCAAACAATTTGTATGCTTTGTTTTTGTATTTAACAAGCGGTTTTTGGTGTTGGTTTCGAAGTTGGAATTCTTATGTTTTTGTACATAAAAAAAAAGGAATTAAATATGTATCAATCAAGTAGAATCCAATTGTAACAAATGGTTGGTCAAAATCGTAATTGCAGGAACGATGTCGTATTCCATTTGTAATTCCGTTACATCTTGCATGCATGCGTGTACTTGAATCAGTTGCAACGAATGGGATTTGGATGCCACCCGAATCTCATATTTCTTGTTTTTATATTACCAACCGCCTTCTTATTCCCTACTTTTACCAAAGAAAATATATAATTTATTCAAATAAATAAAAGAAATTTACAAATTAGAATCAAAAATTAAAATTAGCATATAAATATTAGGATAATTAAGATGTACATTAGAATGAAAACACCGAGATGTATCAAATCAATACATGTATCAACCATGATTCATAAATAGGTTTGAGATTTAAGGAACTTTTTTCTTACGTTTCTCTCACTCTTTCCATACAATCATTGACCGTATATATATATAGACTTGGGTTCATCTGAGACCAAGGGTTTTTCGTGAGACCCGTAAAACCAATTCTCAACCTTTGGATTAGATTTACAATCTCAACATTGATGTTCTCTCTTGGAACTCATTATATTCTTCTGCTCATCTTCAGATATGACAGTTAAGAAGTTAGGAATTGAGATCAATTCAAATATCACATTGGCAGCTAATAACTTCACCCTCTCCCAACTTTCTAACTCTCTTTAGTTGTTTTCAATTAAGTTATGTATAAATAGAAATAGAATTGTATGTAGATTGATCTGTCTATATAAACTGAGTGTTTTTTGTTTGAGAGTTTTTTTTTCCATAAATAGAAGAAACGTGATTTTTAATTGGAAGGAGCAAGTTTAGAAGGAAAAAAAACTTGGTTTTTTGCATAACACCCCCTGACACAAAACTTACTGGATAAGCCTATAGCTGACTGAATAAGTTATGGATCCCATTAAACTGCTAACACACAAGTCCTGAATTAATAACTATTAAATGATGATTTACAATTTATAAAATGAAAAAAAAAACTCTAATTACAAAAGTTCGCAGATTTAGATTGTGTTTGAGCTAATATTTATTAGTTACTATTTTAGAGCATCTTAGACATATTCATTAAAATAGAAAAAAAAATGAGGTTTTTTTTTTTGTATTTCACTTCAATAAATTTCATATATTGTTATTTAAATCAGAGAAAACTTAAGTTTAGAAAATTATCTAAAAGTTGATATGTGGAGAGAGAGAGAGATTGATTTTTTGTTGATTCCTACCAATGAGATTGATTATTTTATATAAATTCTTTTTAAAAACTGTATTGCGATGATAAATTTATAAAATATTTTAATAATACAATAGATATTGAATTTCTAAAATAGAGAATCTGTTTTAGTTAAATGTAAATATTTTTAGAGATTTAACCACAAGGGTGGTGCCTGATTGGTTTGAGCTTAGCTCCAAAGGTCAAAAGTAACAGGAGGTCTCAGGTTCAAATTCAAGGAAGAATAAAAATCCTTTTGTGGCCACAAAGGTTTAAATGCGGTGACTTCGAGCTATCTGTAAAGCAGGTGGTCGCCTTGGGATTAGTTGGCTTGCTTAGCGGGTTGGATATCCAAGATAATCAAAGAGATTTGTTTTAGAGATTTTGACTTTTAGGAGGCGTTTGGAATCTTATTTGAAACAATTTATGCTTTTGTACAAAAGTCCTTATCAAGTTGTTATAAGTTAGAATGGTTTAACTTCTTCAAAAACTCCTTATTACCGGTTTGGCACGGGTATAAGCTATTTATTCAAACACTTAAAAGTGCTTATTACCGGTGTCACACCGAAATAAGTCAATAAGTTGTCTTTATAAGCAATCCCAAACACCCCCTTAATTCTCTACATGCATCCTAACAAAAACCAGACGACACAGAGAGAGCAAAAAAGAAGAATGAAGATGATAAAGGTTTCAAGTGGAACGTTCTTCAAATAGAAGCAGCTTATAGGAGTGGAATGTATAAACAAAAAGATTGACGAAGCTAAAGTTGTACATTCAAGTATATGATTTGCTTTAAACAAGAGAAGTACCCAACAACATCTATTTTCTAGTACTCGTTAAAGTGAATGGCACCCATTTTCCACACCACAAAAGTTGTTGTAAACATCACCGTGCTGATCACAACCACTGAAAGGATGATCAGAAACACATCCCACCCAACTGGCAGCTCAAAGGTCAACCCCTTTTTCGGCATTCCACGTTTACTGTCATCGAACAAGTTCGTCGGCGCTTCAGGAAGACCTGTTCTTTTTTTCCCTGTGATTTTATCGTTTTCCCTCAGGGCTTCCAATACTTTGCTTCCAAGCTCTGCTTTCACGACTGGCTTTGGTTCTGAGTTACGACTGCGAACTCTTGCTGCCCTTAACTTCTCTCTTGCTGTTAACTTCGATCTTTTTGGGATGGCATTTATCTCGGCGTTATCTGTTTCTTGTATCGGTTCAGAGGCAGAAATGGATCCATTAGAAGCTTCAGGGTTTTTTTTGACAGGCTCGGTTTCGGTACTTTCTGAAGTCTTGGTACTGATTTCTGTTGCTAGGCGATCACCGTTTGCAACTAAAAGAGACCTTCCATTTCTTGAACGTATTGGTCTACTAATAAGAAGCGTTCTAGAAGGGGATGAGAAATGGCTGGACTTTAGCATTGAAGCTCCTATGCACACTCTTGGGACATTTTTATGGTTAGCCTGTGTTTTTAACAATATATCAAACCAAATACATCATTAAAATTGTCTTCAACATGTACCCATCACAAATATAAATCACCAAAATCGATTATAAGATCCCAACACGTTTTATCATAGCAAGGTTCAGTATCTACGTTAAAGATGCAACTTATGTTACTATGTAGCTAGGCTGCAAAGTACAATTTGCAGCACATAGTCGTTTCTAATCCAAGGTGCAAAAATGTGTTACCTTATCAACAAAGCAACCCAAGTGTCTTTTTGAATATGAAAGAACAAAAGATGCTATGACTAAAGGATTCTCTGTAAAATCAGTTTTATGTCAAATTATTACAAAGTACTTTGTGATGGTCAAGGAACAATTGACCTCCACAAAAAAATTATGTATTTTTCTTGCAACGGACGGATCAATGTATACTATCACTGGTTATGGGATATGACAGATACCATTTTATCTACCATACAAGCAAAAGTGACAGATATGTCAAAAAAAGATCATCCCTGAAAGAAGGTTGAGTTTAGCATAACTCAATTGGGATGACTCAAGTACATTTATTTGGTGCCCACACACCACACTCTAAAGCGAAGAAGCAGGGTGGTTCTATGGTTCTACCTCTTGCAGAATCCCCGTATTTGGTGATTTGAGGGTGCAATTTTGTGGGGGTGCACACCCTATCGGTTTGGTTACATCACCGAGTTGTTAACCAGGAACACACCTTAAGGTTGGTGGTATTTTCACAGTGCATATATAATGGAATTGTCTAAAGAAGATTATCTTTATGTTCCTATATATTGTAAAGTGGACTCTTCATGTGGAATGGAACGAGTAATACTTTGAGGAAGGAGAGTAAGCTAAAGAGTGTATGTGCAACTCAAGGTGTTCCACTGTTACATTATAGTATAGGTGATTGGTGGTTAACAAAACAGGATGGAGGAAATGTAAAAAATGGTCATTTAGTGGTTATCATTTGAGGAAAGCATATGCATCATATATGATCTTTTTTACTCTGCTATTTCACGGAATTTCAATATTAAGGGGGTGTTTGGCATTGCTTATTTAAAGTGTTTTTTGACTCATTTCAGTCTGGCACCGGTGATAAGCTGAATGCTAGTGTTTGGATGAGGAAAAATAAAACTGCTTATACCGGTACCAAACCGGTGATAAGCTGAATGCTAGTGTTTTTGATAAGTTAATCATTTCTGACTTATGAAAAACTGCTTATTACCAGTTTACCATTTTAACCCTATTTTATTAATGTTTGTTAATTATTAATCTTATTGATATAAATTTTTGTCAAATATAAATGATGAAAAATAAATTTTTACATGTTAAAAAATCAAATAAGTTAATAAGCAATCTCCAACACTGGTCATTTTACATATATAAACAAATATCAGTGACACAACTTTTACTTGCAACTTCATTCTTGGTGAACTTATGTGATCAAAAATGGATAAACAAGAAAATATCTCCCTTTTTCTAGCATATTTGGCGTCGCCATCCAAAATTGTAAGAAAAAGAGGATGAACAAGAAAATATCTCCCTTTTTCTACTTTGGATTAAAAAAGATCCTATTTTATGAAATATTTTGCACTAAATAACGTACAGCAAAATGAACTAACATATATCCTAGCACCAACTCTGTTTACATATATTTTACTCATGGAAAGAACTGAATTGTATCAGTACCTGAGTTTAATCACATGTATCACCATGAATTAATTAATATAATATTATAGGTTATTAAGTTCGGAAAATGGAAGTGTTTTTAGATATAGAGCCAAAATCGAGTTGAATAAACTAAAAGCCTAGCAAACCCGTAGATCTGAATATTGCCTATAGTGATTTCTTCTTCGTATCTCGAATTATGCGTGTTTATCAAAAAGAAGTAAAAGTAATTTCTGAATCACGCATACGAGAAATTCCTTATCCATAATTTTCTATCTTATCATAATTAGATTCAATAAACATTATAAACAGTTCAAGCACCATGACTCTTTGAACTAACTCCTCCATTTGCAGTCCCAATGAACCCTAAATTATTATCAATACAATTTCTCCCTACTCCATACAGGCGTTGATTTTAACCATATAATCCTCCAATCTCGAAACGATTCGGACCACGTTAACAAACTTTCAAATCAGATTAATCGCACTATTACTCAATCTGATCAAAACTGAAAAGAGTAAAACGGAAAAGTAGCAACAAGATCGAAGGAGGAAAATGGAAGGCAGCAAGAATACGATTACATACCGTGGAAGTGAAGCTGACGAATGAATTCAAGGAAACAACCATTGGATTTGAGTTCGAATTTTCACGTTCCAACCATTAAAAAAGTACAGATTGAGTGAATACAGAGCCAAAATAATCTGTGGCGCTAAAGTGATCCAACTTCACTCCTGCTCCCCCAGTCATATAAAAGATTATAAATTGCTAGTTGCGCTCCACCCCATATGGTCCCTATACTTTGATTAATTTACATATTTGGTCCACAAGTTTAAAAGATGTTTTCTTTACCCAAAATTAGTCCATTCCTCTTCTCGTGAGTTCCACTTTGCAACTTTTTGATCGAACCACGATGATCGTGCGTCTTCTTTGTGAAGGATGGGCATTTTGGTCTTTGCCTTTGGCGACCGTACTTACCTTTATCATATTAATGTGCATGAGATATGAAATCAAGTTCATTATTTTTCATATTATGATACGTTAAGATTTTCATGTTAAGGTATGTGAGGTATATTACTGGTACAATCCAATAGACATCCATCCCACCAATATTCCACTAAATTACATCAATGACACCACATCTTTGTGAGCCTCGTGATCGAACAACTAAAAATCATCCATTGCTTTTATTGAGTCCTCATGCTTCTCACGGAAGATAAAAGTTCTTGCATGACCTCGAGCGTTGGGGCCGTTTGCTAAATGTTTGTCAGATAAGCGCTTAAAGATATTACTCACCTTACCGATTTAGCATGATAAGAACAGAAATCTTAGCTGATAAGAGGCATAACGAGGACCGAAAGTCTTATTCTGTAAGTGAGGAAAAAAACTCTTTCCGGGTAAGCGCTTCCCGGGTTTAAGACTCTTACCAGCACTCCGTTTCGACGGTCGAGAATGTTACATGATAAGGTAAGTTTGGGTAATTTTCCTTGTTGGTAAACGCTTACTCAACAAGTGTTTAGTAATCAGCCCTTATTGGAAACAAGTCTCTATGTAACTTTTGATTGATAAGGCCAAAAGGTTACGATCTATAACCGCCTTTTACCATCCAACAAAATTCCCAGATAAAAAAGATACATAAATATGTGATTTTGTGTTTCTTGAAAACTGTATAGAAGTGCCCTATTGTGACGATATCCTTCTCTACGTTAGTTTATCTTTCATCTCCTAACAAGTTTGCTGTATCACCCGAAAGAGTGGTTTATAATTGGTCTAATTGCAGCTCTAAAATCTTCATAAAATCTCTGTTCTGAGAATCTGCTAGCTCGTCTTCTTGCAGCTGCAGCGATCTCATGTTTCTCGGATTTTGACATCCTTAAAATCTTCAAAATTGCATCAGCATATTCTTCGACAGTTTCAGCAAGAAACCCGGTTTGCTTTCCTTCTTCAGGTAACACGATGTCCATCTTTGGGCCAGCTGAATTATGAGCTGAAAAGGGTCCAAGAACATGCCTTTTTAGCTATTTGAGACTGGCTCATGTAATAATAAAAAGAATCCACCATGGTTTAATTGGTTACCAATGGGTATGGCTCCTGCAGCCATGTACTCTACGACACTAATGCCAAAATGTTCATCCATCATTGAATGAATGCCTGCAGTTGCACTGCCCAAAAGCCCTACTAATTCTCTGCAATTTAAAGCAAAAGTTTAGAAAACTTGTCGGCTGATGGTGGTATAAGTGAGTAGGGGTAGGTTCAAATGAGAACCGTAAATATTTTGAGAGCAGGGAAACTAACTATTCATGATATATTCGTGATTAATGGCATGATAAATATTAATGATAAAAATTATTCATGATGAAAATAGATGATATTCATGATGAATAATATTCATAATTATTCAGGGATATGCATCATGAATTATACATGAAATAGTTGGTTCCCAGGTTCTCAAAATATTTATGGTTCTCATCATAACTTCCCCTAAGAAGGCAAAAGCATTTATGGATATAAGGGATTGAAGTCAAGTGAGACAAACCTGTAGGTCACATTCTTATAGAACTCTACATCCTCTTCTACCTTCAGTTTGATAGCTAAATCTTTCAAGTTCTGCAATCTTGTTTCATCAGCATCATTTCTACAACTACCAACAAACTGGAGTTTGGGCCTAGGAATGTCCGCATTTAGATTCTTGACGGAATGTGCAAAAGCCTGAAGCTGAAGAGTATGCGCCTGACGTAGAATTATAAGATGACCAAATATGAGAGATTGGAGATTAGAGATCTTGCAAATTAATAACTATAAGGTCTTTATGAAAATTGCACACCTTCTCTGGTCGAAATTGAGCCACTGAAATGATTTTGGGCGGTGTTGCTTCTCTTTCCAATGGAAGTGCCTGTTAGAATTTAATCAGATTGGGTACATGCAAAAAGGTATACATATACACATCCCCAAAACCAAGAGGATCCAGAACATAATATGATAAAATGCATGACATTCTACTAATATTTTTGGTGAAAACTTAGCATCTAACAATTGCAGTCTCATTAATCGAGCTTAATTAACCAAACCACACGAGACCGGTATATCCCACCGGAGGAGGGTTCTAGGGAATGGGATGTATGCAGATCTGTCATTGGTTGCTTTTGTGAAGACTCCCAGCTTGATTACTTGGATCAATTGAAACAATAATACTTTAGTTTCATGCTCTGAATTGAGATTAAATGCTCAAAGCTATCTATCCCTACTCCAGTTGACCAGTTCTTTTGCTTATTAACCATAGGACAAGCCCACAAATATTATACATGGCATATCAAAGAAGATAGATAAAAATGCCATTTATCACATACTTATACCTTACTATTGTATCCAGTATATCATTGTTGCCCAATTTTAATCAAATTAACTGATAGGAATGGACAAAGTGTGACAGTAATGTTTTTACCGAAGTTTGCCTATCAAGAGATGATATTTACCTCCCTAAAACATATCTTGAAATTATTCTACTACGCCAGATTTGTTTATGCACAAAGCTTTCTGCAAGTTCACGATCGATGACTCACAAACGGAGCATAAGGGGAGAATCATCCAATTTTATTGCAAAATTAAGCAAAAGGCATAGAAAGAGAAAAACCTGCAACCCGGTCGTATCACAAGGAGGATACACTCGTTTAATACGATCTGGGATTCTCCAAAGCTTCTCAATATGCGACTGTGTCCACGAAGAATTAACCAAAGCAAGATTTGCACAAGAACCAACAAATCCATACATCCAGCTAAAGAATTTGTAATAAACAAGTTTGCACTGGGACAACAGAAAGCTGCCAAGACAATTAATCTTTCAGTCTTTCAGATTCACACTTCAAAAACATCAACATAAATTTGATATACTAATCAAGCAATTTGAAAGATTTCAATTGAAACAACAAATCTAACAATTATGCAACAAACCTGTTAGCAACAACAGAGTCATTATTATACATGGAACTCCGTGAATGGACTCGGGAGAGCATATCCAAGCTGATTGTTGGGTAATGAGTGTAGCAAAGGACCTTGCACCCGAAAAGGCGGGCGAGTGGATAGGTAAAGGCATATCCACTAGTATCCAAATAGTAAAATGGAACAAATTTGTTCAAAGCTTCCCATGAAAGGTAGATCGAACCAAAACTTTGACCGATCATAGTGAAGCGAGGATAGGTTGTTTCTTCGATCCATTTCCTTTTATGTAAATGCACAACCTGATAGAAACAGTAGAACTATCATAAACTTTGCTTACCAAATAAACAATGCAACAGATTTGGCAACATAGCATCAACAAATCAGGATCCTAAGATGGAGATCCATCCCAATCAACTATGGAACTTAAACACAGGTTAATTCTTTTAATATGTTGATGATTTAAGTTACTTCATGACATGATTCATTTGAATTTCTTTGAACAGGTTGTGCTTAGATTTAGATTCCAAAAAAACATGTACTGTCAGTTGAAATGGATCGAAGTATGCATAATTAATTTAAAATACTTTGAGTTGCAGTATCTAGACTTTGTGGTTCCAACAGTAAGGGTTCACTATAGTTAAGTTTTAGAATCATGAAACATGAATTTAGGCAATTAATCACAGAAACACAGGGGATTACCTTGGGAGGAGAAATCAAGGTAACACCAAAGCGATCGAGGGCGCGACGGATGAGGCTGTCTGGAGAAGCATCATGATCACCGGTGTAGATGACACAATCTAGATCAGGTTGTTCTTCTTGAATAGCTTTAACTGCACACCACAAAACTCTCTCTCCACCGCCGCCGTCGTTGGTGTAAGGATGAAAGAACCCTACGGCCCTCTTTCTGTTACTCCGGCAGACAGTTAAAATCAAAATCAATCTTACAGTTAGGGAGACTATTGCTGACACTAACAATATCCGAATGATGGTAAGATTGACCATCACCATCACCATTTTTTAGATGTTATCGGTAGCAATGAGAAATTTTAAAAGAAGGGTGTGGTTGAGTTTGGGTAGAAATTAAGGAAGACTTGAAGACGGAGGCTTCTGCCGTTCTGCGATGTTTGTAAAGTGGAATGTTATTTTATTTTCTATTAATTAAAATAATCGGATTAAAACCATCATTTAGCATTTTGAAATTTTGTCAACATAAAGAACCCAAAGTAATTGATGTATTGCATTTTGAATTTTTCTGTTTGCACGTCTCTTTATATAGAACTATGTCCGGTGGCGCTTGCATTTGGTTTTAGAATAGATCACCAAAAGTGGCCTAATCTGGTTTTGCAGATCCCCGAATGGACAGGTTGTCTACAAATGTTTACTGGCAACTGAGTAAGCATTTTTTGGATGTCATTACCTTATCTAATGATTATGGCAAGAAACAAAAATCTTACCTAATAAGACGCAGACAATTTCAAGAATCTTACCTAGTAAGTGAGGGTTAAAACTCTTAACCAGTCAACGATTACCTGTAAAATATGTTACCAACAATCTATTTTGATAACTGAGAATGTTGATCGATAAAGTAAGTGAAAATTATAATCTCTTGCAAGTAAACACTTATCCACTAAACGTTTGGCAACCAGTTCATGCCGATTACCAAAGTGTTTGCAGCATGAACATGACAAGGAGCCAAAGATTGAAAAATCATATATGATAAGGGCATGACAATAACCAAGAATTTTACCTGGTGAGTGAAGATACCATTACACGATTTACACAAATGACATAGTAAATGACGCTTACCAATAATCTTGGCCAAAAATCTTGCACGATAAGATAAGTGAGGTGTAGACTCTTACCCAGTACACACTTATGGGGTTTAATGCTCCGCTTCATAGATTGCTAATTCAACCATCATTGGGTCTACTGAGGATTTTCAAACTAACTCAAACACCCCCGATTACAATTTACAACAACAAAAAATGTGAAAAGTAGCATAGTCCAGCGAGAGGCTAAAGACGGTGTAGAGAATTGAAGGCAAATTTCAACTACAAAAATCAAAAGAATATACTACAATTCAAAAATAAAATTGAGAATGCGAGTACAAGACCAAACGCGAGTCTCAAAAGAAAAATACAAGCCAAAAATAAAATGATAAGAAGTTGCATGATCCATCCCTCCTACCGATCCCTTCTTCTGGTACATAATACATAATTATACTCCATCATCTTGCCTGCCCTCCTACCCACCTGCAAAAAATGACTCGACTACCCAAAAATATTACAAGAAAAACATATCCACACCTAAAAAGTAGAAACACACTTGTCATTATTCTCAGCTTTATCCCCCACCGAAAACAAGCAAATTCTCAGCTTTATCCCCCACCCAAAACAAGCAAATTCTCATTTGACTAGGGGGCCAATTAAACAGTTCCCAAAAACTGGCCGACCGGGAACCATGTCAAATTTCCTCTCTCACCATTGACCAACAACCAACCACCGCTATTCACCCATTGCCCAAGTATCAGTAAGAGCTCATTCCCGGCATTCCAAATGGGGGCATCGGTGGCATCCCCATTCCACCCATAGGAGGTGGTGGTGGAGGAGCAAATCCTCCACCCATTCCTCCACCCATACCTGGTGGTGCAGGTAGTGCAAGAGGTAGCAGTTGAGCATACATGTTCTGCAAATTAACCGAAGCACAACTGTCAATGTAGCTGCTTTAAATAAAAGAATATATTATTTAATAAGCATAAGAATGAAACAAAGAAATATACCTGCTGCTTAATTACATCCTGCACTTCATTCTCCTTGGCCTTATTTTCCTTGATTGCTTCTATCTTGTCCTTGACTAGTTCATCAACTTTGCCGGTATATTCACGGATAAACTGAAGGAAATCAAATTAAAGGATTGGAGTTGATGTCTGATCAAGCTAAGTTCCATTTGCCAAGTATGAAGAAGAAGAAAGAAAAAGAATGTGGTAAATTTACCTGGAGCAGATATGGGAAGGCAAAATCAATCATATTGTTCAACCAGGCGAGCTCAAGAGCAACGTCTGGACGAATTAGATCATAACAAACGAATAGACAGGAAGCAAAGCATTCCTTCTTTCCCTGCATAACCAAGAACACAGTGATTTTACCAAAGTGATTTCATTCAAAAACATCAAACCCAGTATATGCTGCACTTCTAATTTAGTCTAACAATAAATCAAACAAAACCAAGAAATTTTGATCAACATTAAACAACAGTAATAATTTATAAATTGATAGCCAAACCAACAACAAACCCAGTATATCTCATCCAGAGGCAGGGTCTGGTGGGGCTTATCTACACTAGCCTTAACTCTGTCCCAAGAAAAAGAGAGGCTATTTCCAAGAAGATAACAAATTTTCCAAGTAACTATTACTCTTTTGGAATGGATGATCATACAAAAAGCCTATTTTTGGAGGGGAAAAAATGTATGTTGGTACAACACCACAATGGCCCATTAGAGAGTATAACAGAAAAAATCATTGTTAAGCTTTTCAATTAGATATGAAGAGAGATCTTTTCTTTTTCTTTCAACAATTTAACTCGGAATATGTTGAAGGTATAGCCTCCCTTAGATTACGTATTCAACAGGATTTTAATTGTCATTTGATGTAATGGTAGTATCGATATCTGGTAATAATAAATTTGTACCTGCTCGATGAAATAAACAAGCAACTCTTCTGCTAGCTCACGGTCCCCGGATTGTGATGCAGTCTCCATGGCGTCTTTGTAAACCTTGTCTTTCTTAGACAATGCAATAGACTGCTTCCACCTACCTGCCTTCTTGTAAATATATGCAGCAACACGCCTCATCTCAAGAAGCTCGTGTTTCTCAATCTGCAAGGACATTAACGATGCATCAAATCATAATCGACTCAATTGGAAACAAGCCCTCTCCGCCCACAAAGTTTATGCGATTGAACACACCTTCTGTGCAAGGCCAATCTGGTCAAAGTTATCATGCAAATCAATGGATTCGCGCAACCGGTCATAGTCTTCCTCCTCAACGTATATTTCATTCAATGCCTCATTTACAGCAGATACATTGTTGCTCTGAACTGCAACCATATATGGTTTCACAAGAGGAAGTTGGCCCGCCTGTGATTTGTAAAGTCAGTCACAGTAACAAAAAAACCTACACTATACATGGTTAAGATGATGCGCAAAAATCTATTAAAAACATTACGGTACTTGATCCTAACTTTATTATACGTGTAAAAATTGTTGGAAGATGATAAAAGTCTTCCAAGGACATTGAGAACATCATTAATATAAGGGTTTTTGGGAAGTTAAAATCAGGTGTGATGGTCACACTTGTTTTTCACTCTATAAAGAAATTAAAGTTCTTCATAGGATGCACAAACCTTTCGCATAATGTCCACTACACGTGTATGGTCAACACGCAGTGCAAGGACATTGAGAACATCATTAATAAGATCAGGGTGCTCTTGTAAGTAGAAGTGGACAGCCTTGTAATAGAGCTCCACATTTGCCACTTTAACTACAATATCTTTAAACTGCATATGATCCCAAGCCTCGGGAGAATGATTCATGACAGTCGTGGCAGCATTATCAAACTCGTCATATTGAATATATAAATAGGTTAGTTCCTTCCAGTGCTGTTGTTCATCACAAGCTCGGATTAGCTTTGGAATGTTAAGACGGGTTGAGAAGAGTTTAATATGCTCCATCAGCTTCTCATAACGGTATCTGGCATAAAGGACACCCAACTCAGTAAAGATGCCCATATGAGCACGTTCCAACCCTAGACCACTCTCCATAAGAGAAATGAGCTCATTGAAGCATCCTCTATTTTGGTAGTACTCGCTGACCTCTTCCAGATCATCCACCTACAAATATGAGAACGAGCATCATTCGCCAATTTAAAAATAAACCACCATAGATATTAAGCCAATAAATAACATTTTTAATCCAATAGACACCAAAAGATTACAAAATGTTACCTGCACAATAATATTCAGCCCACATATCTGTGCCAAGCGGAACTCCTCAGCATCGACACAAGCAAAGCAAACTTCTTTCCATGTCTTTGCGCTATTTGCCTTACGAGCAGCATCAACCGCACCTTGAAACTGTTGCAGCCTAACAAGTGTGACCGCCAGCTTCGCCCAGTTCGATATGAAAGCATATATTATTTTTGCAGCTTCATACAAGGCTTCATCAAACAAGCGATCACCAACATTATGAAGATTAGCTACATTTGGCATGAGTATGAACTCCTCAATGTCACTTAATCTGTCGATTTTTGCATACGCATAGATAAGCTCACTGTCCACTTTGGGCTCCTTGGTCTTCTGCCTAACCATCAGTAAATATTTCACTAAATCGTGATAACATTCTGTATCCTCAGCAGCACGAATAACATCCAAGAATTGAGTGGCATCATCAGCACGAATAAACGACTCTATTGCATCACTCACTAGTCCCTCCCTGAGCTGAGCTTTAGCCACCTGACTCCATACAGCATCTTCCTCAACACGGTATGCAAACTCCACAGCCCGTGGAATACTTTGAATGTTATCCAACAATACATTGACTGCTTGAACATTTAAGTTGAACTTCTTGAATATAGCAAATGCCTCTTCATATAATTGTGCTTCTACAGCAACCTCTCCAACAGCAGGTCCATCAAAGTTGTCTAATCTATTGACGTAGTCCATAACTCGTGAAGGATCAGCCTTAATGGCAGTTAAGATAAGAAGGTTTTGTAGATTGAAATTCCCACTAAAAGCAGAGTTTTGAAGGACAATTTTTTCAAGAAGCTCAATTAGTTCATGGGGAAGATCAGCAGTCATAAAAGCCTTAACAGCAGCAGAAACCTGCTCTGGGCTCTTGCTTTCAGGCAAAGCAGTAGATACAACTTGATCAATGAGTTGCCTTCTGTACTCATTCTCGGGGTTAAGAACCTTCTCCCAAAGATCCCCATCCATCCTCTCCACAACATATCTAAAACAAACTTAATTATATCAGTTAACAAATCTTCAAACAATATTAGCCAATTCATATGTGATGAGCAAGAACAAATTGAGTACCTGGCTTGCAACTTAAACAGAGAATTCTTGCTTGTTACATTGATAAGTTCATCATCACATTGCCCTCTGCGGTATGCAACAACAGCAAGTGTGGGATCCCGCTTCTCACAATACTTCCCAACAACACGTGAATCGTAATATGGGTTGGTGGTGAGGAAGTGCTCGGGATTGTTGTTGCTATCAATGATAATTTTACCCAAAGCATTGTGCACATGGACATCTTGGCTTCCTTCACTCACAAGATGCTCCAAAAATTGAGTAAGCAACCGAAGTCGATTCCTGAAAAAACACAAGCAAATGATATAGGGATGCAAATTAAGAGAATGAGCATAAACCACAATTAAGCAAGGCTAAACAAACCTCTTTTCACACTCGTCCACAAGAGGCTCGACTGGAAGCAGAGAACGAACAGATAAAATCAAACCTTTAATGAAGTCCTCAGGGCACTCATCATCTAGAAGCTGTCCTACAACTAAAGGTGCATTCCCTGGGTTGACCTATACAGATGCAACATAGGCACTCACATACAGTAGCTTTTGCAAACACCTATAAATGAACAATAAGAAAATTGCCATAAGCCACACCTTCTGAACATAACCTTCGATATACCGCAGCATGTTGTTGGTATAGAGGTAGTGAGTGAGATCAGGGACAAAGCCAAAGCGATCACACACATTGATTAAAGGCCTTGCATCAGGAAGCTTGGCTTCCATTAGAAAATTCTTGGCTTTCTCAGCATCATAGAAATTTGATTCTCTCGTTACACGCTCAACCTCCTTAATTTGCCCTGTCTTGGCAGCTGCCTCAATGTACTTAAAGTGGATGTCAGGATCCTCACTGCAATATCGAGCACAGGTCAGTGTGGATACACAACACAAGACATCAACAAAGTAGAAGTTATGTATTTCAATATTTCCTTATTTAACCAGATTACCTGGAGCTCAAATACGATCCCAGAAAGAAGTAAAGGCCTTCATAAGATTTAAATTGCTCAAATAGTTTAATGCATGATTCAACACCGAGCTGCTCGCAGTATTCTTTGGCAACCTACAAGCACAAATCACATTTAGTCATATTGGGAAAAGACAATTCACACAGAATGAACCAACTTCTGCTTCACCTGGTTTGACCAAATACTAAAAGTTCATATTGAATAACATGACATTACCTGCACTATTATCTGAAGGTTTCCTCTCAAATTGACCAGTAAAAGATCTTTCATGCACTCCAGTGCCCATTCCTGAGATAGTGTCCCAAAAACTTCTACGAGAGACTGAAAACAGAAGAGAATCAGAGCTATGTTTTAAGTTAAAATCCCATATCAGGTATATAGACAAACCTGATATGTTTTAAGTAAACCAAATACTAAAAGTTCATATCAGGTATGTTTTAAGTAAACCAAGTCCAGTAATAGACAAACCTGCGGCTCAATTGCATGAGTATTCACAATGACACGTTTGATATCAGGTAATTCACTGTAGTGCTGCAGCAGAATATAGAAGTTTCGGTCATGCAAGTGACAGCTTCCGAAAAAACAGACAAGTTTTGGGAGATTAGCCAACCTGAAGAGCTCGGACATAAAGACCTGCTTTCTCACAGAGTTGAGCAATACGAGGCCGGTCATAGTGGCTGAACATGCCATTTGCTAATATGGCATCAGCAACATTAGGAAATGTTACTAAGTTGATTTCAAGAACCTGCATAACATTAAAAATTTATGAAATCATAGCTATCTTAGGTAACAACATAGTAGTTTATTAGCATCAGTGAAATGCAACCTTGGTTTGCAAGTGAGCATGTTCTGGCAAATCAGGCTTAAGGACATCCAAGAGGAAGGCTGTTGCCTCACGTATCAAGTTCCTCTGAACAGATGAAAGAAAAGAAAGCATTGGAAATTGGTTAAATTATAGGATCCATTCAGTTGCATGTTTCCAGAGACGCCGAGATCAGAAAAGTAGTCACACTATAAGCAGAAGTATATTATTAACGCTAGAGATTTTTTTATGAGAACATATTAATTGATGATCAAACCTGAAGGAAAAGATCTGTTATTGTGTTGTAATCAACAGGACAACCTCCCTCCATTTGGGCCATCATCAAGGCAAAATTAACAGCTCCCTGAAGAACACAAAACAAAGTTACCAATCCTACTTCCATGCACATAAAATCGTGCCCCACATATTGATATATTTATCTCTGGCAACTGCTTAAACTACAAAATTAGTACCTGTGGATCTGATCGAAGAATTGTTTGCAGAAGGAACAAATAATCAGGTTCATATCCAACCTGCACCAATTCAGGTGTTATTTTACGAGGACATGTGACAAAGTAATATTGAAAATCCGTTTGAAAGAAAAGCAGGCAAACTGTTCGACTATAGCTGTACTGTAACACTAACGCCTAGGAATTACTTTGGTGAAAGTTTGACCTACCTGCTTGGAGTAGATCAAAATTTTGTCGAACTCTCTTCGCTCGGCAAAAGCAGCAACAACTTTTGGAGTTGCTCTCGCTTTGATGTAAATTTTTAATGCAAGATCATTATCCACAGTCTACAAGTAAATAAGGAAACCAAATTTAGATGAAGATAAACTGTAGACAGCACAAGACCAAAAAAGCTTTAACACGTTTTTCAACCTTCACAAGGTCTCCAAGTTCCTCACTACATTCCAACTTGTCTTCAGCCAACCAATTCTCCAAAAGATTCTTCTTGTTCTGATTGACAACTAGGCGAGATAGTTCTAACGATTCAAATGCGTTTAGTTTTCCTTTAGTTAGAAGCGTCCCAAAATACTGCAATAATGGTGGTGTCTGGCCAGCTTGTACAGGTACACTCTGCAATGAAATATACAGAGGTAAATAAAGTTTAAACAAGTATAAAAAATTTGATTAGAGAATATATCTTTTGGAGATGACAACCAGACTTGGTCTGTTTCCATGACATTATTGCACTTAATGAAGTATATACCTGAAATTTTGCAACTGTATCTGGTGTACGGAGAATGCCTTGAGGAGATTCTGCAGCAAGCTCGGCAGCCTCCTTATACTTTGTTTGGACAAATAATTCTTGAAAACGTTGTACAACCTGAGATAAGATGATACATAAATTGGTCATCAGAACACATCATTACGAATTTTCACTAATGACAAAAATAGCAAGTACCACTCAGGCTCTGTAGAGCTTTAGTCTCTTCTGGTGTTAAAGCCGATCATCCCCAATGAACTTGGTAACAAATAAAGGTCTTACACTTCCATAGTTCCATACAGAACTTTGTCTTGCTTAACCAAACAAACTGAATGTTTCCGTGATATAGGTGATTAATTGATCTACCAAGTCCCAACTAAAAGCAACTAATAACTATGCATCTCAAAGATTACAGATCCAGCTGGGCAGTTGATATTCTTGGAAGAAACTGAAGATACTTTAGGGTCAAGTGAGAGGTTTAGGGTATGTGCCTCTAAAAATCCCCCAGCCTAACATAAATTCAAAAGATCTTACATACCTCACTGCTACAAGTCTAAACCTTCATAGACACAACCACTCTTCCTCCACAAGCCCATTAGTTCAACAATGAATCTTGTAAACTTCATACCGGGTTCTTGAATCTCTTTTATGCATAATTCATCATCAAAAATATTTTAGCAAAAAAAACATATCTACGAGAACAACTCTAGCATGAGATTCATCATTGGCAGAAACCCAAACTTCACTCTCAGGGACATACTGAAAGAAATTGTTGTATTCTCATCTATTTCTACTGAAACACCCTATGCATGAGTTTAAAATAAAATTAAATGGTTTCTGATTGTCATATTAGCTTCCAAAACCTAAAACAACTTCATCATATTATTCTATTTACCAAATATAGCATGTTTTTCCTTAAAAGATATTAAAGCAACTAAGAAAACCAGCACACTATGATCCAGAACTTATAATATTAATACTGCAGATGCAATTTTGCCACAGATTTGAAGCGTCTAAATCCATGTTCTCAACCAAATTCCAGCAGGCAGAGTGACAATTTTATATATACTGTTTCTTTATTTCGCAATCCTTGTTTCCATAGAATGGAACCATGAAGGTGAATATGATCCAAAAAAAATTCCTTTCCCAGAAAAGGTGAATATGATCCCATCTGAACTTCTACCATAGGACATAATTATCATTCTAAATGTACATCTAAGATAGAAGTTGAGCATGATCTTTTAAGGATGACATATGATGTTAATATCCCAAGAATAAGACAAAATTGCATGGGGAGCAGCATGAAGGAAGAAATAATTTGTACAATCAGGGAGCTAATGCTTTTGGTTTTCGACTTTGGAGGGGCATGCTCACTTCAAATTCTGATGCCAAATCTACTCATCACTATGCAATATAAGACCAGTCTAGTTCTACTTAGTCATACAAAAGCCAGAAAGCTTTAATGTTGCATACAGCTAGAAGCTGAAAAGGTTTAACTTAAAATCAAGTGAACAGCTACAAAATCACAATTTTACATGTACTACAAACTACTTGCTGAACTTTATAAGCATGGTACCATTATGCCAATATATTTTCTTACTCTACTTCAGAAAACTGATGCACACATAACAAGATTCTCAAAAGACCAAGAAAAAGAAAAGAAATTTACCAAATTCTCTGCACCAGGTAGGTTTCCTCTTTTTGCAAGATTGACAGCAAGCTCCAGGTTGTTTAACTGCACTAACATGTCATGTTAGGATTCCAAGATAAGAAGAATTTGCATGTCAATCATTGATGAAACAACTTCAGAAACTTACTTGTCCACTAACAAAAGGCACAATTGTTGATTCATTTACAGTGGCAAGTAAGACTTGACCACGTCTATTGACAGCATAAAAGCCCCCAATTGATGAAGCTTCAGAGGTCAGAAAAATTGGATCTGGGCTAATTCTGTTCCTATAAACTGCAGTAGCTGTTTCAAGGTCATATACAAATAGAAGCCCCAGCTTGGTGATCACATAGATCAAACCATACTTGTGAGATATCTGCAAAGTCAACAATAATATGTTTCAGAGAATCTTTGAACAAGAAAAAGTTCCATAAACATGAATGGCAGACGAAGTACCTGCATGGCAACTGGAAAATCATCTGCAAAATCCGGAGGGAAGAAGAGGTCTGCTTGTTTCTTGGTAAAAGAGGGCTTCCCTGCATTATATTTACAAAAAAGAATCTACAAGCATTAGACGTAGACATGTAGTATATAAGAAGAAACACAATAAAGAGAAACCATTTAGTTCATAAATATTGTCTCAACAGCTATACAAATTCTGAAAGTAGATGTAAACGGCTTTCAACAGGCACCAAAACTAACCGATACATCTTATAAAAATATATACATATAGACCAGAGCCAAACCATAGACGTGCACATATACAGAGAAACAAAAATCCATCACGCCTTTGTATTTCAAAAACATTGTTTCTTCTTTTTAAGAGAAAAGAATCAGATTAGCAGAAAACAAGCATATGCCAATGAAAAGCAATAATCAAAGGTTTAAAATACAACTATGAAGAATAAGACCTGGCTGGGCACCAAGCTCAATGACATGCAACTTTGATGTAACTTGTCCAGCATTGGAGCTTTTGGTTGCAAAAGAAATAAGAATAGAAGGATTTTCATTGCCAGGAACCTGTTTAAAATGTAAATATATGCAATCATATTTTATGCAACTAGCTCAAAGAAGAAAATAAATAGAAAGAAATTATCTGCTTTTCAGTTATAGTATTAAAGAAAGTATGTGTACCTTGAAAGAGGCAAATGATGCTGCATGTGCTTCAAGAGCTTGACTCCGCTGCTGATCAACAGAAAAAAGTTGCATATTTCCTTTGACCAACTGTGGTCTCTGTGAACAACAAAAAATGGGTTAAAAATTATTTAAATTTAAAAAACTGCACCTCATGTGAAGAAAAAATTGTAGAAGTTTGTGTTAGTTACCTAACTAGGTGAAACTTTTTTCAAATAACATTTCAAAAGTCCATCTAGATTTCACCATCATTTCCCACTAATGTGCACATACATAATCGTAATCAGACAGGAAAACAAGAACTGGCATAAAACAAAGCTACAAAAAACCAGACCATGGACAGCTCTTCCTAATTCATTCTATACTACCATCCATTCCCTTCAGGACCCCGTACAAGCAATCACCTAAATATTTGCATGCACCTACTGGCAAATGCATCCTACTTGCAATCAAATACAACACACCAACACCCTTAACTCGATTGCAATGAAATAGCTTCGTAGAAATTCCACTTCAAGGATCATATTACATTTGCAGACTCTCTGAAACACCCTTAACTACAGCAAGCCATGCATAGCAAAGTTGTCTCTGACGAAAGAGCATAGGAAAGATTCAATTATTTCATATCAGCTTATCACTAGAAGTGGAGCAACGACAGATGGTGTGTCCTGGTTGTGACAGGTTGACAACGAATTAGGCTCAATGCACAGCAGAACAAGAGGCCGTAAATACCAGAACAAAAACAGATAATAATCTAACGATCACTCAGCCAAAATAAAAGTAAAGTCAGGTTTGGTGTTTAGATGGCATAAGATATTATAAGCAACTGTTAAAAATAGAATGATCATAAAAAGGAACATGTTATATGTTCACATTCTACTAATGACGTAACAACAAACCTCTGGTGAGCCAGGGGCAATTCCAATCAACACCAACCATTTCTCAGATGGATCACATTTGTAATTAATAATCTGATTGTTTGATAAATTGGCTGTTGAAGATTAAATTATCATAAAAGGGAACATGTTATATGTTCACATTCTATTAATGAAGTAACAACAAACCTCTGGTGAGCCAGGGGCAATTCCAATCAACACCAACCATTTCTCAGATGGATCGCACTTATAATTAATAATCTGATTGTTTGATAAATTGGCTGTTCTATCAAACATCTTCACAGGCACAGAATCACCTGTGCAGAAAAGATTGAACACTGAGTTCAGAAAATATGATCTTAATTTTACATGCCATAAGATTAAGACACAAAGAATGCAATGCACCTTCAATTGACCAATGATATACTGATGTCTGGGTTACCATGCCCAACATCTTAGGAGTAACCCACTTCCAGAAGACAACCTGAAGAAGGAAATGAGATAAGGCCAAATAAATTTTGGCAGACACAACTCGTAAAATTATAAGTTACAAAAAGTTGTCACCTGCTCAGGCATCTGATGAGACTTCATTTTGGCTTTCATCTCAATATTAAATATCTGTAAGTGATCCTGAGTAGTCCCAGGGAGTTGAGCTTCAAGAAAATTACACGATCAATTAGCAGAAAAAGATAAAACTGACCTTGTTATTTTTTTAAAATCGTTGCTACAATTTTCAGGGATTTATTGCCAAAACATGCTGAAGTATTATAAATGAAGCTCATGTCCAAACGAGAGTAGAGATATCAGAAAACTATAGAATCTGGTACATTTAGAGTTGTTTAACACTATGCCTTACAGTTCTCACGTACTGCATTCTTTGGTCCCTTTAAGCATAGATTCACAAATACTTGTTTTGAAAACAATGCCAGGGAAATAGGGCATGAACATGTAGTAATGTGTTACGGGTATGCAAGTATACTAATGCATTACGGTGCTCCAGCATATCATTCAAATACCTAACACTAGTTCTACCATCAGTATGAAAAGAACCACAAAAGCAATGAGCACTGTAGATGTGTTTATTGTATTTCAAAATTCTCAATTCAGTGATGCCACTAAGTTCAACATGGTTCAAACCATATCCACAGATTTACAAACTTAATAAGTAGTACCTTTTAAAGCCAGGATCCTGGAAATGGGATTCATAAGAGCTGAATCAGCAGTGATTGGCCTCCTCAATGGCTGCATTGGCATGCTCATATCAATAATCACCACACTGTTCTGAGGAGACGTTTCACGAACACATATAAACTTATCTGACTCCATTGTAACATTGGTAAATGTAATGAACTGCGGATTGATCCCTATGCTTGGCAACTGCAACAACAAAACACAATTGAAACAAAAAAAATAATCAAACCATGCACAATAGGTCACGAATCACGATAAACTTCGCTTGAGAAGCAGATTCATCATGCCCCACAGATCTAGACATCTATTAAACATGCATCAAAATGAAGTACGCTTCCTAATGCAAATCTATCAGCACCCTTGTTGGTCCTTCCTATACCATTAATTTAAAAATTAGTGGAGTGCAAAGGCTAGCAACAGTTATTCCATCAGGCTAACCCTAAACAAACACAAAGGGCCGTTAAATCAAGAAAATCGCCTATATTAAGTTAGGTTTCCAAAATATCATAGTGTCAAATATATTCTAGCATGAGATATTTAAGTTTTAGATAAAGATAGTACCGTTAATCTAACAAATCTAAGCAATACGATGGTCAAGAAGTTCAAGAATTCGTTTACGTCATTTCAAGTATCCTAACCGCCGTCTCAAGAATCCTCAAAATAAGTACGCATGGTTGCGACAACAAGAATTGTGTAATTCAAGCTATGTTTGGCATAATATAAGTGTGAATCTGTCAATACAAGTGTATATGATAAACCTAGGTTTTTTTGTAGAGATTTACATACCGTGAGTGCCTCTTTCATAGTGATCGGAGCGTTAGCGGCCGCCATGGTGGTGGCGAGATTGATCAAAACAACGAATGATCAGATGTACTTTTGATCTCCGATATGTTCCAAGTAGATTGAATCGCCGACTGATAAACTTGAGACCACCCGGAGACACAAAACCGTCGATAATCCCTCGTGAACGAGAGATCTCGAGAGATATAATGGGGAAAGTACGTAGTCGTGTTCTGGGATGCAGAAGCTTAAAATCCAAATGAAAAAGAGAGATCTAATCTGAGAGGGGGCGAGACAGAGAGAGTGAAGCCTGAAGAGGCCTTTGGTGGATCTAAATTAAAATTGTATATCAGTTGTTCCCATTTTTTATCTCAAAATATTACAAAAATTGCTCCAACTATGATTGAATTACAAAATCACCCCTAAACGGCTATTTTGGCAAATTTGGGCAATCATTATACGATGTGTGATTACGGGGTTTTTAAGTGTTTGGGATAGTGGCGGAAAACAAGTTTTCCAATCATATGGGTCGGATATGATATATTATATATTTTCAAAAATATATTATATATTTTCAAAAATATATTATATATTTTCAAAAACATATTATATATTTTCAAAAATATAATATATAAGATTAAAACATAGTAAAACTCTAAAACTAGATGTCAAATATGAAAATGTCAAACATCGCTAATCAAAGTGGAACATGTCGATCTTTCGCGACCTTTAAATCCTCCACAATTTCCTTGGGCGTTTTTGTGTTGTAGTGCATTGTACTCACGTATATGTAAAAAATCCAAAGAAACACTCTATAATAAAACCCTCTTTATTAACAAATATCAAAACAATTGACATTTGCTCTTTATGAGACTCATCATGTGCTTCGTCAACAAGTAAACAAAACTTTCAACCACAACTTTCCTCACAAATCATTTGTCTTACCTTATTTTATATAAGATTCAAATTTTCTTTTTAAATAAACAATGATGTATATGATGCATATCTGGGAGCACGACAAAATAATTTTTTAAGCTCGGTGCTAAACTCACTAAGTGCCTCCAACATTTCAAGAAAATTCCCCTATTAATAGAATCCAACTTTTCATTGTGGCCTCTAAATGCAACCGCTTAAAAGACTCATTGACTCAAGTAATCGCGTTTTAAACCCATTCAAAATATCAAAAAGTTTCAAACAAATTTGAACCTAATCATAATCAAACAATAGCATCTTAAAACTTGAATAGAAACATAAAATGTATAAAACCCTTTGATTTAGGGGTTGTAATCGGAATATTTGATGAAGATGAAGTTAAGATCACATGGATTCCACTTGCATTCGGATTTAGTTCTTCATTTTGCTCTTCCGTGGAGATTGGAGACTGTAGAGGATGAGACCGCGAGAGGCTGGAGCTTGATAATCGAATCACTTGAGAGGGGTCAACATGGGGAGGGAGGATAGATCAACAGGTCTGTAATTTCAATAATGAAGGTTGGAGATTGTAATTTTGTTCATAAGTTGCTCGCATAAGTCTGTCAATCGATATGGGCATGTGGCCATGAAGAATCAACAACTTTAGACTTTTGTGGACTATGGACTTTAGTTTTTAGGGATTAAGAAATTTGCGCCGGATTAAAAGCTTAGTGGACTCCAGTGGGGGCCAAATAAAAAAATGGAATTAACAACGAAAAGCCAATATACATTATATATATAGGCGGAGGTTCAAACCAGAACACCTCCATTTTGCGAAAACGTGAAAATACTCTTATCACATGTGATAGTAGCGTGAGGAGACCTTGTGATGTACGGACGACGTGTTCTACGATTTAAGTCGCGCCAAAGGTTGTTTGCGTCTATGATTTAGCATCACATGTGATGGTCTTGATAGATTATATATTATATCAACAACACCCTTATCACATGTGATAATACTTGTGAGAGGATTAGTGGTGTAAGGGCGACTTGGCCCGCAACCAATATCGCATCGGAAATCGTCCGTGTCTCTTATTTAGTATCACATGTATATCATATGTGATGAAAATAGTATCACATGTGATTATCTATATAAAAAGAATGTTCTCACGTTCTCGTAAAATGAAAATGTTATCGTTTGAACAATTATATATATATATATATATATATATACACACTTAATGAATAAAAAAACCCATGGGTCATGGCCCCTAAATGCCTACATGGCCTTCTGCCCCTATTGGGGAGCTGAGTGTGAATGGAAATGGGTGTTTTGTGTGGTATGATACAAGATCATTTTCAATGTATTTTTTTTTTTTAAATATAATTTGTATTAAAATGAAGAAAGTAGAATAAATAGTATGAAAATCTATACATTTAAAGAACTCTATAATCATTTCCAAAAATGATTATATGAAGAGAAAAATATATTCTTTCTACCGATGAAAATACTTGAAATTAGATGTATAGCAAAGATAAATAATATATTGTGAGATATATTAGATATTTTAATAATGTAATTCATATTGTGATCTCCGAAACGGAGAATCTGTTGAAAATGAATATAAACCTTCTTTAGATATTTTACTTTTGATTCTTAATTTTGAAGAATCTACTGAATATGCTCTAATGATTATTCTTGAGAAAATTGTAGACATGAGTGTATGTATGTACAAAACAGACCGATCTTAACCCGAAATAATCTAACTTGAAGCTACTCGATACCTAATAAAGTTATAAAATCTTAAAATCATGTCTATTAGGCTGAAATTGGGTTATGTTCATTATAACCCAACCTAACTCGATGAACCCAATATCTCTTGTATATGTCATACACATCTTATATATTATATGCATATATCACTATAAATGTTTGTATCAATGCCTTTGATCTACATAGTTGAGACGGGATCAACTCTTTCGGTTAGTGTATCACAATTTTCCTACGTAATTTAAATCCCTGCTTGCAAATATCTCCAACTTTCTTATTGGTACCGGTCTAGTGTTCCATTTGTTTTTCGTGTAGCATAAATTGTCAATTAACTTAAAGTAGTGAATAATGGTTGTTTAAAATATGTTGTTGCAGTGCTACTATTATGTCACAAACCAACCAATACAACACACGTTGGTAATATTATCACATCAAGAACCAGTCCTACTTTCAAGATTACTTATCCTCTACCCTGTACCACCTCATGCTGAGAGTCCAAATATTTTGTTGCATCATTTTCAGTCAAACAAACGTATTCTTTAATACGACCCTACAAGTTCACATACTCGTTGACAACATCTCCATGTGACACGTGTCGTTGGCATATAATAAGAACTTACAACTATGATCATTCTCGTTTTCATTTCCAACATCTCCATTCCATTTTTGATTCCCATTCTCTAATATGAACCAAACACTAAGGATGATGATTTGTCCCGATCCGGTGGGGAACCCAACTCACCCAACCCGATGAGAGACGGGGATTCCCCGCTAAAACGGGTCCCGGAGCCGGGGATCCCCATTAAACTCAAACTGGGTCGGGGCCGGAGATTCCCGGTAGACTATCCCGTTGCCATTAGGGATGGTGATTTGCCCCGACCCGGTGGGGAACCCGGTTCACCCGACCCGAACGGGGACGGGGATTCCCCGCTAAAACGGGTCTCGGGGCCGGGGCCGGGGATCCCCGGTAGACTCAAACCGGGGACGGGGCCGGGGACGGGGAATGTTACTCGAAACGGGGCCGGGGTCGGGGCCGGGGATCCCCGGTATAATCAAACTAAAGCATACTTTTTATCGGGTTTTGACCGGGGATTGACCGGGGTTTACCGGGTTTTGACCGGGGAAATCTAGAATTTGACCGGGGACGAGATGGTAATCCCCGTACCCGCCGGGGACCGGGGCCGGGGCCGGGGGACGGTATTACAAACCGGGGCCGGGGCCGGGGATTACAATCCCCGCCCCATCCCCGCCCCGTTGCCATGCCTAGTTGCCATGCCTACCAAGCACCTCTAAATTTATAAGGAATTTGATTCAATGTTACATTGAAATCATACTTTCTTATTAAAATGTTGACCTTGATTGTAACATATACAATACCACCAAAACAATCAAACTCAAGTTAAGCACCTGACACTTCTCAAACATCAAAAAAGTAGAAGGGTCTTTTTTGCCTTTTTTCTGTTTTAAATGGTTGAAAAATGCAAATAGCTAAAACTAAGAGGGCTTTTTATTAACGTTTGTTAAACTTTTTGTCTTATAACAACCATTAAAAATGATGTTTTGATAGTGGGAAATGGCGTGGTGCGTTCTACATGCTCAAGCCATTGATGGTGTTGTTGATTGGATCACGTGGAGTTCTTGCATTGCTGCTATGGATGAGCCATGGCTCGTAGTTCACCAGCCACATATTTGAAATTTCAAAATTTATGTCCTCTTATTTGAATAAATTACAAAAATAATCCCTCCACTATTTTACAGCTTGTATTATTGGGTACAAGATTTTAAGTCTTGCTTTCCTGTCTTGAAGTTAAAATATTGTCAAAATGTAAAAAGTAAGGGGTTGTTTATTTACCCCTTAATAGTTCCATTAAGAGACAACATCTGAATTGGTAAGAGGTGAATCTTGTTTGGCAAAAAAAATATGTCTCTTAATAATTCTAAAACCTTCTGAATGATTTTGTATCATGGATATCCCTTAACTATTAAGAGCCCTAATTTCATTGTACACAATTACTAGACAATTATATTTCAGTTTACACTATATCATGAGAGTTTCTTAATCATTCTGACCACTTAATCATTCTACACCAAACCATTCAACAATTGTCAAACATCCCTTAAAAACAAAATAATTGTAAGGATAATGTGTCAAAAAGAACAAAATGCAATAAAAACAAACTCTAAAGTCCAAGAGGATAGCAGATGTAATCAATCATTTTTAACCATCTTTATTGACTTTTTTGTTGGGGGCAAGTGCCCCCAAAGCCTATTGCCTTAGATCCGTCCATGCGTGCATGGTTGGATTAGAGTGGGTAGGGACATGCACAATGATGCACCTGTGTATCAGATACATTTTGTATACTCTGGGTTGCTTAATAAATCTCGATATTCACCCAGTTATGCGAGTCAATTAATCACAGGACGATCACATGTTTTTGCAAGTAACCCGGGGTCACCATATTTGAACCTCCGTAACCAGAAGACTTTTTTTATTCCTTATTGAATTCAAACCTGGGATCTTCAAGCACTTTTGACTGATTAAGCCTAAGTTTAAACCAATTGGGTACCACATCGTTTTTGTTTATTTTATTAATTGGAAATGCAATCAAAAGGATTGAAACATAAAAATGTTATCAGATGCAATATCAACATAAATTACATAAAAAATGAAGATTCGAAAGAATAATCGAACCTGATAGATGTTATCCTATGAGTATAATTACAAGGAAATAAATTTGTCTATTAATGATATATAAACCATAGTAGAAACGGACCAAAATCGATTATTAATTTCAGTTTACTATCTTTTTTATTTCGTAAGAATTCATCAAAGACCTGAGCATTGGGCACTTGGGCTGGTCCTTAAGTGGTCCTTGGGTAAAAGGTTGTGCCCAATTTGGTCCTTTAGGCGAGTGTGTCATGTCATGTCTTAACAAATCTATTTATATAAATTAACTGAAATTTAATTAAAACGACGTTATGATAAAAGAAACTCCATACTTTGTATTACTTTAATTTGATAATTTCACAAATTTGAATCTAAAAAAAACAAAATCTTTTGTTCCGTACTTGATGTTATATAGTTTGATATTCGGTTTTGTTGAAATGATTGAGAAGATATGAAGACATGATGTAAATGACACACATGCCATCCACTTGATACTTGTTATTCCCACCGGCTATCTTTCCAATTAGAAGGGGGACATTGATTATATGTATTATAATTGTTGAGATCTAGATTACCAAATTTAGCTTCGTACCATATCAAAATGGTATTGGAATCGTATGATGTAAAAGCTTATTTGATATTCATCACACGACAATGGAGGAACTAATGGAATTACATCCTAAAGATAAGGAAAATATATATCGACACTACAAAGTAATAAAAAGAGGAAAATATGCACGAGTGATTGACAATGACGAAATCGTGAGCTTTATAAATAGATAACCGAGTGGTCCAAACACTTATTTCATTCAAAAATCTTTTTATCGTAAGATATTAAAGCTTTAATAGGTTTCTCTTAATAGTCCAAAACTCTTCTGAAGAGATTGTTTGTGGTTTTTTAGATGGATAGATTATACGAAATAAATTTAGTTTGATTACACTTTTGATCAACAATAAATTGAATAGAATATATATGATTTGAATGGACATTTATAATTATTTATAATCTAATTAATAATTAGTTTTATTGAATATTATTATCGAACTTTAACTTAACTATTCACGTTATATTTTATGTTTCAACGAGGGAAAAAAATGTTAATTTGCCAAAAGAGAACAAATTATATTTGATAAAAAATAAGATGGATGTTGCAGCAGTCAATGGCAGGGAAACGTGATGCCCAAAATAAGGAGTCAAAAGCATGAAAACCATATTTTAGAATAGAGTGGGCAGGCAGGCACCGTCCGGTTGACCATGTGACACATATAAAATGAATTTACGAGCGCCTGCTTTTGGACTTGGAAGCAGTTTTTGCATGTTCCCCGGCGAATAGACTTGCAGAATCCATACAAAACCAAATCTATATATAATTCATCTATTAAGCCTCAGTTATTTGACCCACCAAAATTAATGAATATTAATAAGTTGACCAAAATATCAAACCAGTGCTAACACTTCTACATATTGCTAAAGGTTCAAATTCGAAGAGGAATAAAAATCCCTTTGTGAACATGGAGATTTAAATGCGATGAGTCCGGACTATCTACAAAGCAAGTAGTCGTTTTGAGATTAGTCGGCTGGCATAGCGGGTTGGATATTGAGGTTAATAAAAAAAGAAGTATACATTGAAATTTGCATTTTCATTGAGAAATAAAATTACATAATAATAAAGCTTAGATTGTGCAGATCAAGATTTAAAGATCTAAGAGTCTAAACATTTAATACCTTTGGAGTATTCACGAAAACAATCTGTCTTTCAACAGTGAAAGAAACATGAACTGCATCCATCTTGTCCTATTTCTGAGTGGGATTTTCTGGGTGAGTTTGGTTTATGTATTAGGCTTTCAAGAATCAGGTTTTTAACTACTGTTATATGTTAAAGAAGAGAAACGAGGCAGTCGGATAACCATAACACTCATGTCGTCGTAAGAACCCCTTGTTGTCGATAAACCAACGAGCTTCTTACAAGCGGAAAACAGATCGGGTTTCTCGATTCCTACACAAAAAGGGCGTACAACGTCTATTGCTTCTTGGTTACTGACCTGAAAAGAAACATTAATGTAGAGATGAATTAGCAATTGTGAATGTAATTAAAATTGTGGTTTGTGGATGATTAGACATTGTTAATCAGAAATGAGGGAAGGATTTACCATGTCCCAGATCCCATCGGAAGCAAGGATTAAGAACTCGCAGTCGGGTCTAATGTTTACTATTCTTGTTTCTGGTTCTGCAATCACCCATTTTGTGAGATGTTTGTCTCCTATTGCTCTTGATACTGCAAGTGAACCTTGTATTCTCCAAACACCGTTGCGAGAATCAACGTATCCGCCCTGCAATCGACCACATTTCAAACACAATAAGATTTCGTTCCTTTTATACCATTAACAATCACATTTTCCATTTTGCTCGAATCATGCAAATGAAATTACTTTTATGCTACTCACCATGCCTTCGATTCTGTCTTTTTCGTCTTTTCTTGAAGGTTTGTGATCAGAAGTGAGAGCTTCTGCCACCCCATTTCTGCTCATAACGGCACGACAATCACCTGCATTTGAGACTATAAGGTTGCCCTTACGAATCAATGCAGTCACACAACAAGTGCCACCATTGATGTCTTCTTTTAGAAACTCCGTGTTTGTTGCGAGATACCCCTCTCTAACAGCGTCTGCAATTTCATCTTCATGTTTGTCTGCTAGTTCGGACATTATGTTTCTATTTAAATTTTTTGCTGAGAATTCTGCAGCCTTTGCACCTCCATGGCCATCAAAAACTCCAAAGAAGGCCTGTAATCATGGATCATCCATATAATACCAATTAATAATGGATCGAGAAAATACACAACAATTTGGGCAAAAAGGATATAGCTATTTTATATTTCATGAAACTCTAGATTTCTTCATGTTGATCCAGTTCGTATCTAATAAAATGTAGTCAAATTTCAGCGCATCTTATTATTTTTTGCTATGAGCTTGACAGAGATTACATATTCTAATAATTGATTGCAATTTTCTGCTTAGTGCCTTAGATAATTTGCAAAATTGATTATTCAATCTAACGTTTCAACTTAATCAAGAAATGAAAATCGTTGAAAATTCGAGTTATACCTGTTTTGAATCTCCTTGAAGACCAACAACCGCAGAGTACCTATCCTCCATGGCTCCCCTTTTCCCTCTTTTACAATACACCGAATACTCCTCCCCTTCCTCATCGATCTCCGACAGGTTATCATCCGGCTTGGCAATCTCATCCACAAAACTCAGCGGTGCAAACGGAATCTGAATCCTGGCCGGCCTCTTCCTCTTCAAGACCACCGAAGATGACGAATTCGAATCACAATTAATAGTCGGTCCTTCACTGTATCCATTCGTGTGCTTATGAAGAGATGACGATGGCGGTGACGACGTCGGAGCTGTGTGATGAAGAGAGAGCGATGATGACGGAGAAATCATAGGTTTACGAAACATCGGTGATGGTAAGAACACCGGCGAGTTCGTCACTGCAACGGCACAGGGCATGTTCCCGGCGTTTTTTCCTTTTTCAATTTTCTGATTCTCGGTTGGTCGTTGACGGAGAAAATGAGAATTTCCGATTTAATTTGATTTGGAATTTGGTGTTTGCATTCTTTAAATATACACACGCAAGAGGGAGTCACGGAAAGCGACGTTTATTTTGACGGTAACGGTTTAGACTCAAGTTGGATGTTAATGGCGGATTTTATTCTTCTTTCTTCACGCGCTTTACAGGTGCGTGAGAAGCACTATGGTTGACATTTAATACACTTCTCCTTTATAAAAAATATAATTTTCTTTTCTGTAATAATAACAAACCAAATTTACGTTTATAAAAAATGAAAATAAAGTTGATTAATTTTATATAAATATAACTTAATTCTATTTAAAAAAACTAAAAATGTAATTTTATTTGTTAACAAAATAAAGTGTGGGTAATGTCAATCGCTTGTGGTGAGAGTGGGGAAATGTATGAAGTGATTGCATGCATGGATGGAATTCGCATGTAAATTCATTAAATGAGCAAATATTTTGTACAGAGAAGACCAAATCTTGTCAACGGTCAAACACCTTTAAAAAAACAACTTAAAAATCTCCTCCTCTCCTTTTTCCGTTTCCTTTTAAAATTTCAAATAATAGCGAATGTGTCGATTTTGTTTTAATTTTTTAAATAAACATGTACTTATATCTATACTATATTATAATGCATTTGGCTAAAACTCTTAAAAACTCTTAA